TAATCGGTCAGCTAATAACAACCCAAGAAGATTGAGGAGTCTATCCAGGCCCAACAGACTCGACAAATACCATCATCAGAAACAGCTAAGCCCTCAGGATTCGGCAGTTTGTAACTATTTGTAGCTGTCTCTGAACCAACCAGTTACATCAGATACTAGCTGCGTGTTTTGAACACTCCATTTTCTCCTTCATCTCCATCAGAAAAAAAAAATCTTACTACCTCAAGAAGATGAAAATGGGCAGAACTTTCTCCGTCCATCTAGGCCCAAAAGACTGCACAATCTAGTTGATCGCCTTACATATGAAGTACTCGGGCAGACCAAGCAACAACGGGTCACTATTATAAACTCTCTGTCTTCAGATGAGTACAGGAGGAAGGTGAAGGCTGCATGCGAGAGATGCATACAAAATGGAAAAGACATGGCCAGAGTAAGACAAAGAGCTGGCCTCAAATTACTGCTGAGATAATAGTTGGTGTGGAAAGGACGGCTGTATAAGGAGAGAAGAGAGGCCGTTTGTTGTATTCGTTCTATTTATTTATTTATAATTAGGCACAATTAATGCTTACTTGCCACAGGTTTGTTTAAACATGTTTAATGAAATTTTAATTAAAAAAATGTATATATCACAATAAATACCACCGCCCCAGGTAGCGAAACATCTACTACCGCTCGCTTGGCACATGATGACGGAATTGAAGAAGGTTGAGAGACCATACAAATAAAATGCAGGATTGTCCATCAAGATTGTGTCCTTCACACATCTTGATCTCAAACCTTCAACCAGTCATCCCAGTGTAAAAACAACAAAATCCTCAGGAAAACACGAAAGATGCGTCAAGATTCGAAAAAAAAATTGTCACGAAATGACTGATGTCAGAATGTTTTAATTATCACTTTATTGATTAGCCATAGACCTTATATTGATAACGTTACCATGTATTGATGGGTACATCAAAACCATTGGTTTTTATAGAAATGTATTCTGGAAACATAAATGTATAATCTTCATCGCATGTCACCAATCGATTGCGGATTGTGAAGTAAAAATTGTCATAAATTGGGTATTAAAAAAATACTGGTGATTGGAAGTTAATGGGTGATACGGTTTAAATAATTCATTACAGAAAACGATGTTATGTTGGTGACATAACCATGTATCGATGCAGCAAAAACCTTAGGTTTTTAGACACAAATTTTGGAAAGATAAATGTATTATCTATATTGCATATGTCAAAAATCGATTTCGGATTGTAAAGTAAAAGTTGTCATAAAATGGTTATTCAAAAACCGGATATTTATTGGTGATTGGAAATAATGGGTGATGCGGTTACAACTATCCATTACAGAAAAGGATGTGTGGTAGGAATGATCATAATAAAAAATGCGTAACCAATTACGTTCTTTTATCCAATCGTAATTCATATTGATTGATCCGTGCGAGTAAATTTAGTAGTTATTGATCCCTAAGGTGTATGCCAGAATCGATTTTTGGCTATTATTAAAAAAGTTAAAGTTTGGACAATAAAAGTTGGTGATTGCAAATGAACGGTGATCCGACAGTTTCGGGAAAAGTATGGTATTAAATGATGAACATGTTCAATGATGCTTTGCGTATTCAAAACAAAATAAATGAATACAAAAACTTGGTCATAGGCCTACTCATTGCTAGCACGATATGGATCAATTGATCAGTGCGGGTAAGAGTATCTGTTATTGAAGCATGTACCTTGATTCATTTTTAGTTTGAGATTACAGAGGTCTAATTGATGTGAAATTGGTTGTATTGTTTGTAGAAAATGGTGTGGACAGGACGGCTATAAGGGGAGATGGGAGGCCGTTTCTATTATTTCTTTTTTGGTGATTCATTTGTTTCATGGTTTAATGCCAACAGGATCAGACCCCAAACTCGTTCAGCCGCTAACTAATGTTGTGATACCAGTAAAATGGGGCTCAAAGTAATAAATGGAATGATAAACTTTAAGTTTCTAAATTTATTCTTGAATTATCTGAGAAAGCAACGTAAATTTCAAAGTATTCCATGAGGCGTGCCTCTTGACGGACCCCCCACCAGCAGGGCGTGCCTTCGGCATATCTTTGACTCAACTCCCGCCACCGGCACCTCCTATCATAATCGCCTGTTTCGTGAAAGCTTGATTCTCCCCTGTGGTATGGTGTGTCAAAACTGATAAATCATGGTTGACACCGTGCTAGCCCCCCCCCCCCCCCAAAAAAAATATTGGTTCTAGAACCGCGCCTGGTCTACACACTACAGTACGCCAATACAATAGGCTAATTAGCTTAGGATTTTGTGCCATCATACACACGAGTCTCTACAAAACATGTATTTAGACAAAGCCTAACACGAACATATTGTAAAACCAGTATCAAAATACAGAAGGAATATATTTACAGACATTTACTGAATCAGAAACTCGGTTGAAACTTGCTAGTTTCGTCAGCCATCAAACGACATGTGTAGGCCGCCTTTTGTTTCTGACAACGCTAAAGACTGGCCGCGGGTGTCCGTTAATTTGACCGATTTAGTGGTCTGCAACCCTAAGCCCAACTAAAGTCTTTGCGACTTTTTCAGGATACGTTCTGTATGTTATTCTAAAACTGAAGGGCCACAGCTCTGATGTAAATACTACTTATTTTGTTACATTAATTAATGGCCTTTGTTTCAAAACCAGAAAACAAATCCAACAAAAACTTCACACTACTTGAGAAAGAATGGTTTGGGCTCATTAGTTCTATAATTGAATTGGATTTTTTTTCATCAATTACGGGAATTCTATACACCATGCAGAGGGACATTTTTGGGGACACCCTGTGCTATCTAAATTAATTGTCATGTTATCTTAATTGTTCCAACATATTGGAAGTATGTACAACATTGTTTGTGTATTTTGAATTGTTATTAGAAAGGTAAAAGTAAAGTAAACATGCATAATTACCCATTTTGGTTATGTGACACTCTGGATAATCCCAGCCCTTACTCGTTTTACCCTTTAATACGATTTCCTCAAAAACAAAAACAGTAAACCGAGTTTCTTAGGTAAAAGAAACACAAAGAGCAAGATGGAAAATGTTCATAATTTGTTCCTCGTCATATAGGTTTATAGCAAAATGAACAGGACCGTATTCTTTACCTCCACTGTCACACTGATGGAAAGTGCCCCCTTTTTTCTGCGCAAGTGCCCATTTGTGGTGTTGCCCCCGGTTTCAAGTTGAGTTCCGCCTCCCCGGATATACCACGAATGGCAAGACGTATCATATGAAGAAGTTATATGTTGAAGGAATCGGATTTCTGCGTGGCTCTCCAATAGGCAATATTCACAAAAATAAAATGTGGGTCCCAAAAATTACGACGTGAGGTTTGGGGCTCGCTTAATTTAGGGCCTTGAAAACATTTTAGATTCCAGAAGCGATTTGAGGAAACTTCTGACCACTCTTAACCAAATCGTTTTGCGGTGGTGTAGTGATGGTGGTGTACGCAGTGCCTGCCTTTATTGCGACGTCACTTTAAAGGGAGGGGGGCATGGCATGCGAAGTAATTTTATGGGACCGGGTTCACACATGTGCCGTTCGAAGAAGTAAACCCGCACCCTCAAAAATCGGGGAAATGAGCCGTGATCTCCATAGGAAACGCGAAATTTTCACTGAGTTGCCCGTTTTTCAGTGGAAAAGTGCACAAAATTATTTGCCTCTAATCATGAAGAAATTATATTGATATGAAAGAGGAAAATCTATATTTTGTGATGCAATGCAAGGGAGTAAGTTTAACCGACACACTTTCCGCATATTAACAAAAGTTTGTTTAGAGCGCCTAGACATGAGCCAATCTTCTCACGTAAACAGAGCTCCACTAGTGGCGCCGGAGTGAGCAAATGCTCCCTAGTTCTCCATGATGATGGATGCTGCCGTTAGTTATTATTGCACAACGCACGAGGACTGGGACTGGGGAAGTTTTCTCACAGTACAATGATGCACTAGCTGGTGGCGCAACCGGGGAGATGGAGGGGGGGGGCATGGTACGTATCACATCCCCCCATCACTCTTGGCAGGTCCCAAATAAGTGATGCAGCTATTTTGTTACCGATTTCCATCGACATTATCTGCTCATCCAGGACAGACATTTCCAAGGTTAGGGTACCTAGTCGCAGAGGAACTCATTCCTGTTCGGAAACACGTTCCTTTATCTAGAAATCTTCATCTATCTGGCCAAAAAATTACGATCAGTCATTAGCTCCCACGAATATCGTCCTGAAAATGTGTACACATGGGATTTCAAAATGTCCGACGCGTTGTAATCATAGACACTATAATAATACATGTCGTGTCTAGGTTTTATTATAATATAATAAAACCTAGACACGAACTTTCAGTGAAGCTGAACTCCAATAAAAGCGAGTACAAAAGACACAATATAACACGGTGATTTCTGTTTTATTTCTACGATTATCTCTGTTCACAAAACTTTTAGTAAATGAACAAAATGATTTGGAAATACTGGGTGTTTTTCTTTGAAACTTTGATTTTAAAATTGGCTAGCTTTTAAATCGTTAAATTGTATTGCCTGATTTATCTTACGTGAGTTAAAAAAAAAAACAATTGTTACCTGAATTCGGCGAATCTGCATCGGAATTAAGTGTATATACATGTAATTGTACTGCACGGTTTTTGTTGTTGATAATAATCTGTGTAGGCCAACGAACTATATAATTATGTTTCTCCCTTTGGTTATATGCGCCTATCACATTTTTTTTAGCAACCCCGAGGCTTCCCCAACCAATTGAATAGCTATATGTTGTGGAAACAACTTACGTGCAGAAGTATGAGTAAGCATGAACTTGAAAAAGCAAAGCATCAAATAAAACATTACTCGTGCCAGATAATATTTAGAAAACTTCGTAAAATAAAATCATGCAGCAAGAATTGGTTTTAAATACACGGTATTTATACACAGTAGTTTTTACAATCCAAATTTGAAACCTTTAAGCATAAAGCCAATAAGGCATAATTATATTCCAAAAACGCACAAACAGAATTCCATGATCCATATTTCTACATGACACAGGAGTAGCAGTGTTCACACTCCCCGGCCACGTACTGACTGGTAATTTGCAAGTTGGTTTCCCTGTGCTATTTTCGAGTTTCATCCCGAAAATATAGATGTGCTAAGTTGCTACTTTTCTAGAGATACACAAGTTATTCACTTTTGAATCAGACATTGATTGAAAAACATCGGCCCATGTGTAGCTACCGAATTCTTACTTTACGATTCCGAATTCTTGGCAGCCAGACATTAATTCCGTTCTCGCAGGGTAGGCCGTCTGCCGATTCAAGCCCCGCAATCAGTATCGATAACATCTGGACTGAGGACCAGTCCTTTGCTTTGCTTTTGAAAGTTTGACAGGTTGTCATTTTTGCTCTAGAAAAGAGGTTCGGGTATACAGCCTATAACCTTTACTCTTTCGGAAGCAGCCACTCTACAGCTCTGCAACCGTCAGGTGGTGACATGATGCCCCTTACATTCAATCGATGCTGAAACGGAACAAACTTGTTCAGTTCCTTCTGGAAGTCACGCATTCGCATGCCCTGACACTTCTTCACACTGTCAAACGATGGTACATCCTGGAGTGCCGGTATGCCAAACCCTCCTGCCATGATTTCTGCACGGAGATACCGGAGAAAGTGAGAGGTAGTGTTGTGATAATCAAAGAGGCTGTTTTGTATTTGTACTGGTGTTGCAGCCGGGAAGTCATTGATGTAACCCCAAATTAATTTCTGAAGTTGGGGTTCTGGAAGTGATTTTCCCGGGAAAGCTTCGGGAACATTGAGATAGAAAAACATAATCTCAGTGACAACGACAGAGTAGCTGTTGCTGGAGTTGAGCAGTGGCTTGAAGTTCTGCAGGAGTTTAGGAAAGCCAACATAGTCAGCAAGGTTGGAGGTGAAGATGCGGTCATAATCGGTCATTTGCAGGGATTGGTGACGTCCAGGAAAGATCATGCAGCTGGTCAAGGAAACACGAATGAAGAGCCGTTCCTCATGGATGAAACTCTTGAATTTCTGAAGGAGGTTTGTCACGTACTTGTGGTACATCACCATCCAAGAGGAGTGGGATCCAGAGGTGTGCTCTTTAACTCTCAAGCAGTCCCATACAGCGAAGGGCATCCTTTTTGGACTTATGAGGTACCTGTACACAAAGTCACCATCGTGTAAAAATACAGAAGCTTGTAGGCCTAGTTGTGGAGTGCCAAATTTTGCTGTGAGCTTGCTAGCCTTTATGGCAGTAAGTGTAGGGTTGTTGAATGGTATGTCTCTTTGGTTTGCATCACAGGGTAAGAACAGACCATGTTCAAACCACTTCTCCATCTGTTTTCTATCATTTGCATTTAGACACTCTAAATATTTGGAGCGGCTATCTTTTATAGCTTGGTCGCTGTTTTCAAACATGTTCTGTCTTTGTTGTGCGAGATTGATAGCGTCTCGATTGTCTCTTCGACATTCCAGTGATTGCCATCCTTTCCAAACCTGGCGTAAATACCCAAGTTCTTTATCCAGGACACTCACCAGTCCTTTGGTGACATCATGGAGTTGCCGAGCACTCATCTGAATGAGTTCATCCAAGCTTGTCTGTATCAAGTCGTACTCTCTCCGGGAAATATGTAGTGAGTACCAGATGGTGGTCATACTGGAAGCGATGTCTTCAGTTTCTGCAAAGCGGACCAACATGAAGAGAAACAGCACGTTCCTTGCAATCACAAATGGATCCAAATCATTCAGAGTCACGTGAAGTTTTCCCTGGTACTCGGTAGGCAGTGAAGCAACCGTCATCACTGTGTTGCGCAGGTCTCCGCAACCAGCAGATAAAACATGATAGTCCCTTTCAAGCTGTTTTTCTTCAACACTCTTTCCGGACCATTCATTGTTTTCAAGTTGAAGGAAATCTACCGCCATGGTGTTCCCAAAGTATTCGGGAAAATCGCCATAGCTTACTTGCAATCTGCTAAGATTCGAAGAGATTTTCTTTATGGATGCCAGAATGTCCTGACATCTTTTCCAGTGTGTTGGAAAGTCACGCCGTTGGCAGTCTGCATTGCAGTACCATGCACTGTTGCATGCTGAACACTGCAGAAACAGGACAAAACAAAATTGATTTGCGTTTTGTGTGTGTCATATTTGTTGGATCCCTTAATTATAGGACCAACCTAGAGTTCTCTTAATAGTACATATGTGACCGGCTGACTGACTAAAAATAGTGACTGACCGCTGACTGACTGACCGACTGAGAGATTCCCCGAATGACTCCCCAACTCCACGACTGACTGACTGACTGACTAAGGCACACAAAAAACGTTCTGCTTCCGATTACATGGCATTCGAAGGGTAGGGTAGGTAGGGAATTTTTTGGCAATTTTTTTTGTGTACGATCATATTTTCCTGCTAGTAGTCAAAGGTAAAAGGTAGAAATTGAAGGTTTTTGGTGTCTTTTCTTCTCATAGGGTAGGGGCTGTCAGTATAGGGTAGGTATAGGGAAATCGGAAGCAGAACTATTTTTTTGGCCTAATTAACTGACTGACCGACTGACGTACGTGACCGACCGATCGTCCGACCGACAGACCGACCGACCGACCGACGTGACTGACTGACCGACTCCCCGACTGACTGACTGACTCCCCGACTGACATGCCCACTCGCCCAAACAGGGCATTTTATGTGTAAAAATAAAATAACGACGTACCATCCGTGTTTTCCCAAGTGTGCCGCAAGCACTGCACTTTTTCTCCCCAAACATTTCACACTCCACAGCGCTATGTCTGAAGTTGTCCCTGTCTCGACACTGTGTGCAGCAGTACACGGCCATCGGGCATCGGTCGCAAGGCACGGTGTGCTCTGGGAGAATGTTCTCACAACACCAGCAATGCCCAGGCTGTACATCCATGGTGATTTCACGTGTACTGGTCACTGCAACAACGATGAACAAAGATCATGATAAACGAGTCAACCATTATTTTATACACTGTTGAATGGAAATTTTCATATTTTAACAAGATTTACATGTATAAGCATTTGTATTTTTTTTTTTATAGACATTATTCTTTGCTGGCATACCAGAACACGAAACAGTATATTTTTGCATAATACATGCATACACCCAGTGCTACCCAAAACATAACACAGTTTTTATGCTTTCATTATATCACTCTGTATACGTCAACACATGATGCAGATGCCGGTACATTGTAAATGTATCTTCAGTTAATATTATGATAATTCACTCACCTTTTATACGAGAAAATTCTGTATTTGTTGTTCTTTCCGGTGGTGTTTGGGCTGCAAAATGAACTGTCTGGCTGGCTCCGATAAACCTCCTGGTTTGCAAGTTGCACATCATCCTGTATTGCACATCATTGTCGTATTGCACAATCATCGCATTGCACATCCAGGGAATTTCCCCCACCTTATTCTGGTCACTTTTTGTTTGATGGATACTGCCGTTAGTTATTAATTATTGCACAACGAACGAGGAAGCGGGACTCTAAATAAGTTTTCATCACAGTACAATGATGCACTGGTGACGGAACGGGGGGGGGGGGGGGGGGGGGGGGCATGGTACGTATCACATCCCACACCCCCCCCCTCACTCTTGACAGGTCCCAAATTACAATGTATGTAGTTAGCCCGACTGCCTCTGTCTAGCTCTGGCCGGCCGTACACTATTACAAGCTGTGTAGTACGGTCAGAGTGATTTTGCTACCGATTTCCATCGACATTATTATATCTTCTCATCCAGGAGAGACATTTCCAAGGTTAGTGTACCTAGTCGTAGAGGAACTCATCCCTGTTCGATAACACGTTCCTTTATCTAGAAATCTTCATCTATCTGGCCAAAAAATGACGATCAGGCATCAGCTTCCACGAATATCGTCCCGAAAATGTGGCGCGTTGTAATCATAGACACATAATAATCAATGTCGTTTCTAGGTTTTATTATAATATAATAAAACCTAGACACGAACTTTCAGTGAAGCTGAACTCCAATAAAAGCAAGTACAAAAGACACAATATAACACGGTGATTTCTGTTGTATTTCTACGATTATCTCTGTTCACAAAACTTTTAGTAAATGAACAAAATGATTTGGAAATACTGGGTGTTTTTCTTTGAAACTTTGATTTCAAAATTGGCTAGCTTTTAAATCGTTAAATTGTATTGCCTGATTTATCTTACTTGAGTTAAAAAACAATTGTTACCTGAATTCGGAGAATCTGCATCGGAATTAAGTGTATATACATGTAATTGTATACTGCACGTTTTTTTTTTTTGATAATAATCTGTGTAGAACTACGAACTATATAAATATGTTTCTCCCTTTGGTTATATGCGCCTATCACTTTTTTTTCACCAACCCCGAGGCTTCCCCAACCAAGATGTGGCAACTGAATGGGTATATGTGGTGGAAACAACTTACGTGCAGAAGTATGAGTAAGCATGAACTTGAAAAAGCAAAGCATCAAATAAAATATTACTCGTGCCAGATAATATTTAGAAAACTTCGTAAAATAAAATCATGCAGAAACAAGAATTGGTTTTAAATACACGGTATTTTCAGTAGTTTTTACTATCCAAATTTGAAACTTTTAAGCATAAAGCCTCTTAGGCATAATTATATTCCAAAAACGCATAAACAGAATTCCATGATCCATATTTCTACAGGACACAGGAGTAGCAGTGTTCACACTCCCAGGCCACGCACCGACTGGTAATTTGCAAGTTGGTTTCCCTCAATTCCCTGTGCTATTTTTGAGTTTCATCCCGAAAAATAGATTGTTGTTCTAAATTGCTACTTTTCTAGAGATACAAAAGTAATTCACTTTGAATCAGACATCGACTAAAAACATCGGCCCATGTGTAGCTACCGAATTCTTATTTTACGATTCCGAATTCTTGGCAGCCAGACATTAATTCCGTTCTCGCAGGGTAGGCCGCCTGCTGATTCACGCCCCGCAATCAGTATCGATAATATCTGGACTGAGAACCAGTCCTTTTACTTTGCTTTTGAAAGTTTGAAAGGTTGTCATTATTGCTCTAGAAAAGAGGTTCGGGTATACAGCCTATAACCTTTACTCTTTCGGAAGCAACCACTCTACAGCTCTGCAACCTGGAGGTGGTGACGTGAGGCTCCTTACATTCAATCGATACCGAAACGGAACAAACTTGTTCCGTTCCTCCCGGAAGTCGCGCATTCGCATGCCCTGACACTTCTTCACACTGTCAAACGATGGCCCATCCTGGAGTGCCGGTATGTCAAACCCTCCTGCCATGATTTCTGCACGGAGATACCGGAGAAAGTGAGAGGTAGTGTTGTGATAATCAAAGAGGCTATTTTGTATTTGTACTGGTGTTGCAGCCGGGAAGTCATTGATGTAACCCCAAATCAATTTCCGAAGTTGGGGTTCTGGAAGTGTATTTCCCGGGAAAGCTTCGGGAACATTGAGATAGAAAAACATAATCTCTGTGACAACGACAGAGTAGCTGTTGCTGGAGTTGAGCAGTGGCTTAAAGATCTGCAGGATTTTAGCAAAGCAAATATAGTCAGCAAGGTTGGAGGTGAAGATGCGGTCATAGTCGGGCATTTGCAGGATTTGGTGATGTCCAGGAAAGTTAAGACAGCTTGTCAAAGAAACACGAATGAGGAGCCTTCCCTGATGGATGAAAGTTTTGAATTTCTGCAGGAGGTTTGTGACGTACTTGTGGTACATCACCATCCAAGAGGAGTGAGATCCAGAGGTGTGCTCTTTAACTCTCAAGCAGTCCCATACAGCGAAGGGCATCCTTCTTGGACTCATGAGGTACCTGTACACAAACAAGTCGTCATCGTGTAAACATACAGAAGCTTGTAGTTGTGGACTACCAAATTATGTTGTGAACTTGCTTGCCTCTATGGCAGTAAGTGTAGGGTTATTGAATGGTATGTCTGTTTGATTTGCCTCACAGGGTAGGAACAGACCGTTCTCAAACCACCTCTCCATCTGTTTTCTATTATTTGCATCTAGCCAATCTAAATATCTGGAGCGGTTATCTTTTATATCTTGGTCGCTGTTTTCAAACATGTTCTTTCTTTGTTGTTTGAGATTGATAGCGGCTCGATTGTCTCTTCGACATTCCAGTGATTGCCATCCTTTCCAAACCTGGCGTAGATACCCAAGTTCTTCATCCAGGACACTCACCAGTCCTTTGGTGACATCATGGAGTTGCCGAGCACTCATCTGAATGAGTTCATCCAAGCTTGTCTGTATCAAGTCGTACTCTCTCTTGGAAATATGGAGTGAGTACCAGATGGTGGTCAAACTGGAAGCGATGTCTTCAGTTTCTGCAAAGCGGACCAACAAGAAGAGAAATAAGACGTTCCTTGCAATCATAAATGGATCAAAATCATTCAGAGTCACGTGAAGTTTTCCCTGGTACTTGGTAGGCAGTGAAGCAGCTGTCATCACTGTGTTGCGCAGGTCTCCGCAACCAGCAGATAAGACATGATAGTCCCTATCTAGCCGTTTTTCTCCAACACTCTTTCCGGACCATTCATTGTTTTCAAGTTGAAGGAAGTCTACCGCCATTGTGTTCCCAAAGTATTCAGGAAAATCGCCATAGCCTTTTTTCAATCTGCTAAGATTCGAAGAGATTTTCTTTATGGATGCCAGAATTTCCCGACATCTTTTCCAGTGTGTTGGAAAGTCACGCCGTTGGCAGTCTGCATTGCAGTACCATGCACTGTTGCATGCTGAACACTGCAGAATCAGGACAAAACAAAATTGATTTGCGTTTTGTGTGTGTCATATTTGTTGGATCCCTTAAAGGGAATATACAACATTTGCAAACATCGAAAAATAAAACTACCAAGTTTTTACGAAAAACCTTACTAGTATGTTGGTTAATGACAGTCTAAAGCATCCTGTCAAACTATGGTACCTGGTATGAATACATTTTCAAGAAAATGGTATTTTTGTATACATTTCCAACAGTGGTCAGCCGACCACCGTTGGAAAAACCTTACTATTTTTTTCAACTACTGCTCCAAATTTACCATTTGTTTCAGTCCAAATTGTATTTGCTATTGATTACATGTTCATGAACGGGTGCAGGCCAGCTAGACTGGTTCCTTTACCTTACAATTTCTGGCATCTACAAATTGATCCATTTCATCTTAAGTGGAGTCAGGGAACCAGACTACTTGACAATGTTTGTTTTTCTTGGTTTTTCCAGCATTTTCGGACACAACACTTCAAACATGTCAGTGTAACAATATTTTGATCTATTATACTAACCCCTCAACTAGTTCATTTCTGAAAATTACAGCGAAAGCCAATGATGTACATTCCCTTTAATTATAGGACCAACCTAGAGTTCTCTTAATAGTACATTTTATGTGACCGACTGACTGACTGAAAATAGTGACTGACCGCTGACTGACTGACAGACTCCCCGAATGACTCCCCGACTCCACGACTGACTGACTGACTGACTAAGGTACACAAACAAAGTTCTGCTTCCGATTACATGGCATTCGAAGGGTAGGGTAGGTAGGGAATTTTTTTGGCCATTTTTTTTTTGGTGCACGATCATAATGCAGGCGTCTGCGTGTAGTCAAAGGTAAAAGGTAGAAATTGAAGGTTTTTGGTGTTTTTTCTTCTCATAGGGTAGGGGCTGTCAGAATAGGGTAGGTATAGGGAAATCGGAAGCAGAACTATTTTTTTGGCCTAACTGACTGACCGACTGACGTACGTGACCGACCAACCGACCGACCGACCGACGTGACTGACTGACTGACTCCCCAACTGACATGCCCACTCGCCCAAACAGGGCATTTTATGTGTAAAATAACGACATACCATCCGTGTTTTCCCAAGTGTGCCGCAAGCGCTGCACTTTTTCTCCCCGAACATTTCGCACTCCAAAGCGCTGTGCCTGATGTTGTCCCTGTCTCGACACTGTGTGCAGCAATACTCGGCCATCGGGCATCGGTCGCAAGGCACGGTGTGCTCTGGGAGAATTTTCTCACAACGCCAGCAATGCCCAGGCTGTACATCCATGGTGATATCACGTATAGTGCTCACTGCAACAACAATGAACAAAGATCATGATTAATGAGTCAACCATTATTTTATACACTGTTGAATGGAAATTTCCATATTTTAACAAGATCTACATGTAAAAGCATTTGTATTGTTTTTTATAGATATTATTCTTTGCTGGCATACCAGAACACGAAACAGTATATTTTTGCATAATACATGCATACACCCAGTGCCACCGAAAACATAACACAGTTTTTATGCTTTCATTATATCACTCTGTATACGTCAACACATGATGCAGATGCCGGTACATTGTAAATGTATCTTCAGTTAATATCTGATGATTCACTCACCTTTTATACGAGAAAAGTCTGTATTTGTTGTTCTTTCCGTGGTGTTTGGGCTGCAAAATGAACTGTCTGGCTGGCTCCGATAAACCTCCTGATTTGCAAGTTGCACATCATCCTGTATTGCACATCATTGTCGTATTGCACAATCATCGCATTGCACATCCAGGGAATTTCCCCCACCCTATGCTGGTCACTTTTTGTTTTATGGATACTGCCGTTAGTTATTATTGCACAACGAACGAGGAAGTGGGACTCTTAATGAGTTTTCATCACAGTACAAGGATGCACTGGTGACGGAACGGGGGGGGGGGGGGGGGGGGGCATGGTACGTATCACATCCCCCCCCCTCACTCTTGACAGGTCCCAAATTACAATGTATGTAGTTAGCCCGACTGCCTCTGTCTAGCTCTGGCCGGCCGTACACTATTACAAGCTGTGTAGTGCGGCCAGAGTGATTTTGCTACCGATTTCCATCGACATTATTATATCTTCTCATCCAGGACAGACATTTCCAAGGTTAGGGTACCTAATCGTAGAGGAACTCATACCTGTTCGATAACACGTTCCTTTATCTAGAAATCTTGATCTATCTGGCCAAAAAATGACGATCAGTTATCAGCTTCCACGAATATCGTCCCGAAAATGTGGCGCGTTGTAATCATAGACATATAATAATAAATGTCGTGTCTAGGTTTTATTATTATATAATTAAACCTAGACACGAACTTTCAGTGGACTCCAATAAAAGCAAGTACAAAAGACACAATATAACACGGTTATTTCTGTTTTATTTCTACGATTATCTCTGTTCACAAAACTTTTAGTAAATGAACAAAATGATTTGGAAATACTGGGTGTTTTTCTTTGAAACTTTGATTTCAAAATTGGCTAGCTTTTAAATCGTGAAATTGTATTGCCTGATTTATCTTACGTGAGTTAAAAAAAAATTGTTACCTGAATTCGGCGAATCTGCATCGGAATTAAGTGTATATACATGTAATTGTACTGCACTCTTTTTTTTTATTATAATAATCTGTATAGGCCTACGAACTATATAAATATGTTTCTCCCTTTGGTTATATGCGCCTATCCCTTTTTTTCACCAACCCCGAGGCTTCACCAACCAAGATGCCAGCAACTGAATGGGTATACGTGGCGGAAACAACTTAAGTGTAGAAGTATGAGTAAGCATGAACTTGAAAAAGCAAAGCATCCAATAAAACATTACTCGTGCCAGATATACTAGAAAACTTCGTAAAATAAAATCATGCAGAAACAAGAAGGGTTTTTAATACACGGTATTTTCAGTAGTTTTTACAATCCAAATTTGAAACCTTTAAGCAAAAAGCCAATTAGGCATAATTATATTCCAAAAACGCATGAACAGAATTCCACGATCCATATTTCTACATGCCACAGGAGTAGCAGTGTTCACACTCCCCGGCCACGCACCGACTGGTAATTTGCAAGTTGGTTTCCCTCAATTCCCTGTGCTATTTTTGAGTTTCATCCCGAAAACTAGATTGTTGTTCTAAATTGCTACTTTTCTAGAGATACAAAAGTTATTCACTTTGAATCAGACATTGATTGAAAAACATCGGCCCATGTGTAGCTACCGAATTCTTACTTTACGATTCCGAATTCTTGGCAGCTAGACAATAATTCCGTTCTCGCAGGGTAGGCTGTCTCCTGATTCACGCCCCGCAATCAGTATCGATAATATCTGGACTGAGGACCAGTCCTTACTTTGCTTTTGAAAGTTTGAAAGGTTGTAATTTTTGCTCTAGAGAAGAGGTTCGGGTACAGCCTATAACCTTTACTCTTTCGGAAGCAACCACTCTACAGCTCTGCAACCTGGAGTTGGTGACGTGAGGCTCCTTACATTCAATCGATACCGAAACGGAACAAACTTGTTCAGTTCCTTCCGAAAGTCGCGCATTCGCATGCCCTGACACTTCTTCACACTGTCAAACGATGGTACATCCTGGAGTGCCGGTATGTCAAACCCTCCTGCCATGATTTCTGCACGGAGATACCGGAGAAAGTGAGAGGTGGTGTTGTGATAATCGAAGAGCATTTGTTTTGCTGCTTTTGTCGTCTGCAAGTCGCGTATGCTATCACGACGTAATTTATGAAATTGCGGTTCTGGAAGTTTCCACGGGTAAACTTCTGGAACATTGTTATAGAATCCCATAATCTCGGTGACAATGACAGAGTAGCTATTGCTGGAGTTGAGCAGCGGCTTGAAGATCTGCAGGAGTTTAGCAAAGGCAACAAAGTCAGCAAGGTTGGAGGTGAAGATGCGGTCATAGTTGGGCATTTGCAGGGATTGGTGATGTCTAGGAAAGTCCAGGCAGCTTGTCAAAGAAACACGAATGAGGAGCCTTCCCTGATGGATGAAACTCTTGAATTTCTGCAGGAGGTTTGTGACGTACTTGTGGTACATCACCATCCAAGAGGAGTGGGATCCAGAGGTGTGCTCTTTGACTCTCAAGCAGTCCCATACAGTAAAGGGCATCCTTTTTGGACTCATGAGGTACCTGTACACAAACAAGTCATCTTCCTGTAAAAATACAGAAGCTTGAAACTGTGGACTACCAAACGGTGCTGTGAACTTGCTTGCTTCTGTGGCAGTAAGTGTTGGGTTGTCGAATGGTATGTCTCTTTGATTTGCCTCACAGGGTAGGAACAGACCATGTTCAAACCACTTCTCCATCTGTTTTCTATCATTTGCATTCAGACACTTTATATAGTCCAAGCGGTCGTCTTTCATCATTCGGTCGCTTTTTTCAAACATGTTCTTTCTTTGTTGTCTGAGATTGATAGCGGCTCGATTGTCTCTTCGACATTCCAGTGATTGCCATCCTTTCCAAACCTGGCGTAGATATCCAAGTTCTTCATCCAGGACACTCGCCAGTCCTTTGGTGGCATCGTGGAGTTGTTGAGCACTCATCTGAATGAGTTCATCCAAGCTTGTCTTGACCAAGTCGTAATCTCTCTTGGAAATATGGAGTGAGTACCAGATGGTGGTTAAACTGGAAGCGATTTCGTCAGTGTCTGCAAAGTGGACCAACATGAAGAGAAACAGCACGTTCCTTGCCATCATAAATGGATCCAAATCATTATGAGTCACGTGAAGTTTTCCCTTGTACTCGGTAGGCAGTGAAGCAACCGTCATTATGGTGTTGCGCAGGTCTCCGCAACCAACAGATAAGACATGATAGTCCCTATCTAGCTGTTTCTCTTCAACACTCTTCCCGTACCACTCATTGTTGTCAAGTTGAAGGAAGTCTATTGCCATAGTATTCCCAAAGTATTCGGGAAAATCGCCGTACCCAAGTCTTTTCAATCTGGGAAGATTGGACGAGATTTGCTTGATGGATGCCAGAATTTCTCGACACGTTTTCTTGTGCGCTGGAAAGTGACGCCGTTGGCAGTCTGCATTGCAGTACCATGCACTGTTGCATGCTGAACACTACAGAAACAGAACAAAACAAAATTGATTTGCACTTTTTGGTTATATTTTTTTGCTGACCACATAGGACCAGCCCAGATAGTCCTCTTTCTATACTTGAGTCTACTGACTGAAAACCTACATTGGGTATGACCGACTGACTGCATGACTCACTGGATATTAATGACTGACTACTGACTGACTGACCGACTGACCGACTGACCGACTGACCGAATCCCCCCCCCCCAGGGACCGACTGACCGACTCCCCGACTGATTCCCCGACTGACACTGCTGAATGACTGTCGCTTGTGACTTCGACTAAGTGTAAGCTGGTTAAGAGAGCCGGAAAGTGCTATCGTATAGGATCACCCTGTTATTACACCAATGAATGGTGAACATTTCTGAATCGATTGAACACAATGTTATGCTCTCTGAGAGACTAGACGGGCTTGCCTTGTTGTTGCCTGATTTGAAAAAAATTCCAACGATGAAACTATGCATGCATGCATGGTCCTCCATTTAATGGCCCGTATAGCATGTGCGTCAAACAACGACATACGTACCACCAGTGTTTTCCCAAGTTTGCCGCAAGCGCTGCACTTTTTCTCCCCGAACATTTCACACTCCACAGCGCTGTGTCTGATGCTGTCCCTGTCTCGACACTGTGTGCAGCAATACACGGCCATCGGGCATCGGCTACAAGGCACGGTGCGCTGTGGGAGAATTTTCTCACAACGCCAGCAATGACCAGGCTGTACATCCATGGTGATATCACGTATAGTGCTCACTGCAACAACAATAATTATGAACAGAGATCACAATAAAACAATTCAACCATCTATAAATAATTTACAAACTGTTGACAATGGTTGTTTAATTGAAATCTTCAGATTTTGACAACTGAAGATCTATAGGGGTGTTTGTTTGGTTGTTTGTTTTTTGATATATTCTTTGCTTGCCAACCACAACACACAGCAGGAACTCGTTGTATTGATTGACATATTTTATTTTTTTGTGTGTGCATATACATGAAATCAAGTCGGGTTTATATTTTGACTGCCACTCAAAACATGACAGTTTGTACGCTTTTTAAGCTGTTAATAGATGATGCAGCTTTTTGCATTACAGAAAATGTAATTCGCTGTCCCACTGCTAGTAAATGTATCTTTGGAGTATAATATCCGATAATTCACTCACCTTTTTATGTGCATGAGAAAAGTCGGTATTTGATGTTCCTTGTTGGGTATATTGGGCTGCAAAAATGAGTTGTCTGGTTTTGATAACCCTCCTTTTATATGCTGCAGATTGCACAACATCTTATTGCACACCATCCGATTGCACATCATCCGATTGCACATCCCCGTATATATTGCACATCATTGTATTGCACATCCAGGGAATTTCCCTGGTGAAAGTACCAACCTAATTTGGTCACTTTTATAGATATTTGGGTCATTCCACCGGGTTGGGGAACAATGTGTGACATACGATCATATTAAGAAAAGCATGAATGCCTTGCTAGCAGTTGCTCTACAAAATATATTTGTTGTTGGGTGTTTCACTACTGCAGAAAGTTTGTATTTTGCCAAAAATATGAGCAAAAAATGTCATTTTGGATGTAACATTGACACTGTGTCAGTGTTACATCCAAATATGACATTTGTACCTTTCTTTTTAATTTCTGCGAAACATTACCCAAATTCACTTTGTGTACTTCTTACTATAGATGCAACACAATAAGAAAAGCTTTTGTTACGGTAGTCAGGTATTAAATGGAGCAGATATGATAGCTTGGTTGTGTGGATGTAACATTGACACGGTGTAAACCCAAATGTCACACTTCCATTGAGTGATTTTTACACCGTTACATCCACACTTGAGGTATTGTTTCTGCTATATTTGAACCCTGACTATACCAAAACAAAAGCTTTTCTTGGTGCTTAGGTGTCCAGTTGTAAATATGTCAGTTTGGGTAATATTTTACATACGTGTAAAAAATGGCAAATAAAGAATATTTGGATGTAACATTTACACGGTGTCAATGTTACGTCCGAATTAATACATTTTTCTCATATTTTTGTCAAAATACTTTCAAATAATTTCAAACTTTCTCAAGTATTGAAACACCCTAAGATAAATATTATGTTGAGCATTTGTTTAGAATGCATTGATACTTTTAATAATATAACCAAATATATGGATGTAACATGCATTGCTTCCCAACCCGGTGGAATGACCCATTTATGATACTGCCGTTTAATATTATTGTACACCAAGGACTGATAGGGACTTTTGAAGTTGTCATCATAAAAGTACAAGGATCACTAGCGGCGGAACCGATCGAGGGGTGGGGTGGAGGGGACTGGCATGGGGGGGGGGGGTAGTAATTGCACCCCACACTTTTTCCACTTGTGGGATTCATGGTCTCCCCCCCCCCCACCTCAGTCTTGTCAGGTCCAAAATTAGTGTACTCTTCTCCCTATATCTAGGTTAACATACATAAATAAGTTCTCTAGTCTACTGTCTCTGGAAATAAGAGGATCATGATCGCTTTCGATCATCGGCAAGACCTGAAATCCACTAGAGTAGTTTAGGCGTTCGAAACTGTTCCGCCGCTGATATTAAGGATGAGTCACCACCATGCAGCCAGTTTGTTTGAACTCTTCCCCCGGATATTAACTGTGACTACAAAGAAGGTTGTCTATCTTCATTGCATCTGATGAAGTAGCTGTAGCTATAAAGATTATGCCGTAATTATTTTAATTTTAGTTAGTCTATAAAGTGCCACCTTCACTATATACCTGTATCTAGCAGACGCCTGTGAACATCTTTGCACATTTGGAGAAATTCCCGAACCAAATCATTAACTTGTATGTTGTGTTGAGAGGGCACTAAATAAACTGAACATGGTTTGTATTGTTGGTGATTGCATAGAGGCCCGCTTATAGTCCTATGATGGATGACGGGAGCCGAGTCCGGACACGAGTCCATTTTTTGCACTCGTGACTCGGGTTCGGACTCGTGGCCTTTTGGACTCGGCTAGTGGTTGATTGGAACTACCCATCTGACTCGAATCGAGTCATTTGAAGAAACTGAGTTATTAAACTTGACAACAAACTATTTATACTGTTAAAAAAAACGGCCCCGCGTCTGTTGTCTGATCACTTTTAACTTCTTGCATGCAGGCGCGCATCGCGAGGGAGGCCCCCCCCCCCGAAAAGCAAAAAAAAAAAAAAAAAAAGGAAGCAAAAGAGGACCAAATTCATAGTGGTGTAAATTTAATGGGTTGGGGGGGGGGGGGGGTAAAGTGTCCCCCTCTAAAACTGCCCCCTCTAAAACTGATAAATCTAGAATGTGTCGATAAATCTAGAATATGCCCCCCTCTACAAAAAAAATACTGGCGACGCCAATGGGCCTGAGAAAATCCCTTTTAGATAATTACTATACGCTGTAGAATAATCGCAATTAAAAGAGACATTCGACAGTCACTGTATTAATAATTGTCAGTATATTCGTGCGCGCACGTGTTCTGCTTTAAAAACCTTCCACGAGTGGACTTTCGCTCGTACCCCCCGCCCTGCAAACAGGACGCTGGGATACTCTGACGAGCTTCACAGAATCTTGTGAAGGAAGTGGCCTATGACCTATCATCTGGCAGCTGTTCAAGACCGCAGTTAGACAATGTGCGCAATTAAAATCCGAAAACTTCCCATAGAATTGCGCACATTCCATACCGGATGTGATTTCTGTTTCATTGCGGACCATGCGGAGCGTCGCATAATGCAATCCACCGACCGTTCGTGATTCGAAACGGAGCCTGAGCGAGTGACGGGAATTGTAAATGTACAACACAGATACGTTTTACAGAGTTTCCTACATTATTACACTTTTCAACGAGAAAAAAAATCTATAGACTGGAATAAAAGAGTAATGAATCAGTCTTAACAGCTGTTTCAAACCTTGCAGAGTCATGACCTTGATCACGCGCAGGTCACTGGTCACGCAAAATCCAACCAATCAGAGCGTGAATTCATCAGAGTATCCCAGCGTCCTGTTTGCAGGGCGGGGGATACGAGCGAAGAGTGGACTCGGCTGGACACCATCTTCCTCTGGGGGCGCTGTTCAAAGCAGACGAGCATGGCCACTATGGGTGCACAACGGTAAATAGGCCAAAACCCTTCATCATAATTAGAGAGTTCCGAGAGCCGGCATTGGGGATTTGAAGAGATATGGCAACGAACCGCTGGCCCGGACTTGGGGCTTTCAGTTCTGAGCATTTTGTTAATTGGGCTTGAAAGTGGCATTATTTTGCCATGTTGTGGAGGGATCGATTTTCAAGATGGCTACTTTTACGCTTTGGGGAAAATAGGGGTCGTCTTTCTATTTGGCTGAGAATATCTCGAAAAGTCAATAGTTAACCCACAAAAGGAAATGAAAAGAGAAAGATAGATGACATGTTGATCATCAGTTTTTCTGTACAGCTTAAATACCTGTGAGAATTCTGATTATTTTTAAAAGAATTTTGAAGTATGGGCATTTAGCACTGGTGTCTATATATGGGAATTTTAATACCTATAGTATCGGATGACGCTTTCCATGGCGGCAAAATTGCCGACGTTCCGCGCGCGACGTTCCAAAAAAGGTCACAGACTCCGATCCAAAAAAAAGGGGTGCCCGTGAAAAAAGGGCATGCACTTGTGAAATACGGGAACTTGTGAAAAAGGGCACTCGTTACACAATTTTATTGGGGAAAAATACAGCCCCACCCCCTGGCCACGCCCGCGCCACTGCTTTGTATCTCACAGATCGATTGACTGACTGACTGACTGACTGACTGACTGACTGACTGACTGACTGACTGACTCCCCTACCGTCAACGGTGTGGCCGGCTTAGCCTGGTGGTTGGCTAGCGTAGAGCAGGGCAGTGCTATTTATGGAATACCCGTATAGGCTAAAGCCAGCCCAATATATATTCACCAGATTCTGCTCAATTGAACTTCTGGCCCATTGAGTTGCATTTTGTGCACTCTGAGACCAGCTTTAAAAAGCTCATTTTATAGTTGACTTGTTTTTGCACCTTTCCTGCAAACCCCCCCCCCCCCCCCCGCTTCTGTTAGACAATCAATACATTGTTTTCCGCGAGTCTGCAGCATGTAACGCACTAGCTGTCGGCCGACCAGCGTTGGAAAAATACAATTTTTTTTTGAAAGTGCCAGCACACCAGGAGCCACGATTTTACAGGATGCTTTAGACTGTCATTCCCTAACAATCAGTATAAATAAGGTGTTTTGTGATAATTTGAACATTTCGTTTTGTGATGTTTGCAAATGTTGTTTCTTCCCTTTAATTCCTGACAAAAAGTACCAAAATCAGAAAATGAAAAAATATACTGCAATTAGAAACTAAAAATCTTGAAAAAAAAACCTCCTGAAATCAGGAAACATCCTGACAAATCTCACCCCTGGCCCCAGCACCCCTCCCCACCCCCGCGCGGCCCTCTTAATAATCTCCTTCCGCACGAACGCACATAGCTCTACAACCATGAACAATGAACGCCTTTAATTTGTGTGCGTCAACCCTGCAAATTAATAACTAGGCTATTGCAGGTCGATTAAAGGTGAACCAGCCTTGCCGAAAACAAAGTCGATGATTCATCAATTGAATGTCGCCACCGCATTTATAGTGGGCGGTGTCCGACGCGCGCAACCAGGCACGAGAAATACACACAAACAAGTTGAGATAGGAATCAAACTTCATCACAGCGCGATATCTTAACAGTAAAATCGACGGGTGCCCTTGCTTATTGCCTTTCGAGCGCAACCCAGACGTCCCGGCCCATCAAGCAATACACAGAGAGGGTTGTTTATTCAAGTGGATGGCACCAGTCTACACCAAGATGTGTTGATTTTCGGGGTACGTTACTCTTTTTTATCACTTTCTAGGTTACGGATAATGTTGAAGATCGATGTGGATCGTGCATAATTTCAGCAGAGATTGTTAATATGATGTGTCATGTGTGACTTGATTACGCTGTTAGTGTCATCAAAAATGTTAGAGACGTGGAAATTACTGTTTGAATTTGCCTAGTTTCCGGACATGGCGGTGAGGAATGACATGACATTCAGTATATTGACACTGCAGCAAGTCAGCAAGTGACATGAAGAAAACATGTAATTCGACATAAAATGATAAATTGATGGAAATATGGTTTTACCTCAACATCACTTAAAGTTTGGCGTATGTACTTGTGTACAAACTATGGAAAGTCATTACAAACTATGTAATTCACAGTCCCATTTTTTTTTAATCATTTTTTTTCCGCAGTGGTTATTGTTCCGGCAGTCAACTGTCTGGTTCTCAGACCTGACACTATTCAATGTCATGATCAATGGCTCTAGTCTTAGAACCAGACTATAATTTCCCTGTTTAAAAAAAATCCTCAAAAGGTAGGCCTAAAGCAGAAAGATTCCCATATCTGGCCATCATTTTCCCTTAAATAGCCTATCAGCCATCAGAAATTGTTTTTTCTTACGACAACAAGATTTCAACCTTGCAAATGTGAGCTAAAAGCCATGACCTACTTTCCAGTTCTGATTTTTTTACAATTTGACTACAGAATAGTGGGACTCGACCAAACTTCAATCATAGTTGTCCTGTACATACATGTATCATGTTTTCTTTTTATTTGCAGATTGTTGTAGCAGTGATGAAGTGAATAATGTAAGAACATTTGTGTAAACCATCATGTCTCGCACATCTCAGTCGGCGAGTCGGGATCATGGAGTTGAGAGAAACGTCACTCCACACCAAATGCTTGACAAACAATATGAGGACGACCTGGAGAAAGCCATCGCCTTGAGTTTAGAAACCCAAAAACTTGAGGATTTGAAACGGGGGAAGAGGGTGGAGCAGTTGAAAGGAAGAGGTAAAGATGACCCGGATAGTGCGTCAAGTGAGTGGCGACGTCATAGTGCCGAAATACCACCAACGTTTAACATCCCTGCCCCGGGTCGACAGAAGGCTTACAAGGATGACTCGGTAGCGGCAAATGAACCTGACCTGATGCTGTTCAGCTTCAACCACGTCATGAAGAATTACGATGAGAAGAAGGATGCGGAGAAAGCGCCACCTGTTCCTCCGCGAGGTTCATCCCAGCCACCCGGTGTCTTCGGAGGATCGCTGTCAACAGCAGGTCACTTGCGACCTTCTGTCACCCATCAACCGAGCAATTACCAGTTTCTGGCGACGACACAAGCCGGTGTGGCTAGGCCGACTTACACTCGCCAGTCCTCATTCCCAAATACTAGCACGCCATTCCAGGTAGCGCGGCCCAGTACGGCAATAAAAGCGGAAAGTTCCCAATGGGTAGATCCATTGTTGACTCGAACATTATCTGGACCTGGATTGCCGCAAACAAAACCCTCGCCTCCAAGTGCAGGTTTTGAAATGCCAAAACCTGCCCTGTCACTACAAACGGGCACAACTTCTGCCAACTTCAACTCCGTGTTACAAAGTGGGCGCACTGCCAGCTCGCAACAATGGCAAACCAAGATGGCCACAAGTTACCACGACGATACGCTAATTGGATCCAGTGCTTATCGCGGCCACCGTCCAGTGACAAGCGGAATCTCTTTTCCCATCGGAAAGAAACGCACATCTTTAGACAGTCCTTTCGTCGACATGGCAAGCTTTTCCGGAAATACTCGCACCTCCTTGTCCACGAGCCCCTCAACAACCAAAGGCTTCCTGAGCAGTGGCCTGTCGAGCTTGAAGGTCTCGGAGAGCAATTCCATGCGGCGAATCAGCAGCAACCCCAACTTCCAGACGGGGATTGCGCCTTTATCGTCGTCAACATCTGGCCAAGCGCAGGCTGTTCCGCAACTTTCAAAACAGGGAGCTGAATCAGGACGTGTCTTGTTCAGTACATCTCCCACCAACACCTCGGGTGTAAAGACACAACCACCAACATGCCCCACTGCAACAACAAGCCAAGCATCCAGCCTCCTAGATGAAATCTGGAAGAAGAAATTTCCGCCCAATTACTCCTCCGGGACGACAGACCGTAGCGATCTCATGGCATTCAGCCCGCCAGCCACGAAGCAAGGCTCAAGCCCTGACACCAACGTCTTTGATTTTAGAGAGTTTGATCCGCTCCGACCAGCTCCTCCTGAGGTCGTCCCTCCAAAAGAAGCAGAGAGTGCACCTGTTACCACGGAAACAAACAAAGAAGGGGAGGATGCAGTTTTCCGTGAATCTGAGGAGAAAAGTGTGGCAGACGGAGAAAGGCCCAAATCCACAGAGCAAAGCACTTCTCAAGGTAAAAGTCATAATATGTTATGTGTTATTTGCACGTCTTGCTTTCTGCACCAGCACTTTGTACCACTTGCTTTATGCTTAAAGTTTAACTTTCTGAAGATTCAACTTGCTTGCGCTTGAGCTTAAAAAAAAAATAATTGCACTTATTGTACACTTTGCATAAGTTTGGTAATGTTTGATATTATTTACTGCTTAATAATGATAAAACTAAAAGTGCCTAAAGTCCTCACTGGGCATCGCAAATTGAAAAATACTTCTCACTTGCTGACAGTGTAATTGCCACCATCTGCAACCAAATGTCGTGGAGTTTTCAGCCCAAGTTATTGTGTCTGCACAAATATTTCCCCCTTTTAAGGAAATAAGCAGTAAGCACAAATAGTGCTGAAATTTGCTTAAAAATAGTGATGAAACAAATCTTAATAAACACACGCATTTAAGCTTACTACACCTTGATATACAAGTATGCTGCATTGTGAAGCATGATTTTCCGCTTGAATAGTTAATTTTGATTTGCGTGAAACTTTTACATGGGTCATACTATAAATTTATTGTCCAAAAGACGGACATTTTTTCCTGTCCCTGTTACCTTGGTACTTTGTAATTTGCCATTTATGTATCATTAAGAATGGCTTCAAAAGACTTTTTATTTGTTGGGTACATTGCTATTCATGATACTCTTTAGAGGACGACTGCATTATTTCTTTTGGAAATCGTAGAAGATGTCCGGTGTAACAGGGACAGGGAAAAAATGGACCCCAAATTTATATAAAATGACCCACATGTGAATCCTACATGTAGCTGTCTTTGTTGCAAGTTCTTGTTTGTATTTTGTGTTCCCTTTTTGCTGTGACACAGTAGTTTTGTATAGTTGTGCTTTGTGATATTTGCAGTAGATAGTCAGTCTGGGGGCGTTCGGGCACATGCCACGCCCCCTCCCCGTCCTAAGATGCCACCTAGACGTACCCAGTCCGACCAAGGTAGAGTTTCACAAAAGTTGTTAACAAACACACACATAATCACCCATACATGATTTTGTTTCCCTCATCAATTTTCTTTCATTTCTACAGTTTTACTTTTAAATTTATCTATCCTCATCCTCAGCATATTCAGTCATCTGGTGTATTTGGCTGTGCATTTACGGGTAGTACTGGATCGGGTACCCGATTGAAAAAAAAAAATGGGTACCCAGGTACCTGCGAAAGAAACCCAACCCGAAATTCAAATCTTGCAAGTTGCTGTTTAGATTGTTCATAAAAGACCGCATGATAATACATGTAATACTGCCATACGTATCGGTGCCCTAATACAGCAAGATGTGTGAACAGTGAGTTTTATAGCTTTACGGTGTAAATTGCAACATTCACAAGCGTCATAAATGTGCCTATATGTTTTGTTTTCCAAAGTAGCCTGCTTTTCATTTTTGAAATCCTCCGCAAATGACATTCGAAACATTTTTTTTTTGTCCTATGAGAAGTTACTTAGTAATTTGCAAAGTTGGTTGCGGGTGCATAATTCCATAATCTGGAACCGGTTCCTGACATTAAGGGTCGGGTTCTCTTGTACCCGGTTCGGATGCACAGCCCTACTGGTGACATAGTCAAGTCCATCCTCGAGCCTGTCACAATTCCATTCACAAGTCCGGTCTCAAGTCAGAGGAGATGAACAGTAAAAAGGGAATTCATGCGTTTGTCACGCTTCAGATGAATGACTTTTGACTGGCTTGACTTGGGACGGGATGACTTGTGATTGACACGTGATGAATTTGTGATGACTTGTGGTGGCCCTGACTATAACACTGCTCATGTCAGACGTACATAAAGTCATGTGGGATGGGAGCTCCAAGATTGTGAATTCGAATCCAGCCAGTGACTTGAATTTCAGTACATGTATAAACAAAATATTTTGGGTTAAAGGCTTGAAGCTGAAAATTTACCACACAGAAATTTGCAACTTGTCATTTTACAACCTTAACCCTCTCGGCCTTATTGGCTAGGACCCTTCCTCAATCTTCCAAAATCGTCCAAAACCGCCTGGAGAATGTTTGAGAGTTGGGGGTGGCCATGGTTAGGGTTAACCGGAACCACCCCCAACCCTTCAAAATGTTTAGTTATAATCAGTTGGAGTGTGGACTGCACTAGCAAACTGATAAATGTTTTACTTGGGGTAAGGCGTACCACCATAATCAGAGTCCAACAGTTTGGGTGTTGATGGTACGGTTGGATTTTGCAGGAGTGAGGAAGGATCCTAGTAAATCACTCAAGGGGGTTAGGGTAAATAAATACACCAGTGTAAAAAAATCACTTGACAAATATTTATACAATCTTGTTTGGTCATAAAAAGCAGTAAACTACCAACACTAGACTGTACCGGTAGTCCAGCGAGTGTTTTACAATATCTGTGTCCTTGGGCAAGACACTTTGCAAATATTGTAATTGCTTCTGCCCACCCAGGAGAAAAATGGGTTCCCGCGAGGGCAGAGATGATTCTTTTTTTTTTGGAATCAGGGATTTGTCCTGAAACTGACAACTTGGAGAGCTGTATAGGCCTACTCCCCAGAAAGCTGATATGGTATTAGGACTGGTTTATAGTCATAATGAGCAGGGGTTTTAATGATAAGCCACCAGCCCTGTAGTGGCAGAGTTGCCCTTTTTATTGTTAGTCTTGGGGCGCTAGTCAGTGGCCAGTGATCATACACTGTACCAAAAATCAAGTACTCATGTAATGTACATCTAGTGTTCAGTAAGACCAGTTCTGCTTCTGGTTTCCTACCTACCCTATTCTGACAGCCCCTACCCTAATTTTGTTGGTGAGAAAAATGAGGAAAAAAAAAACAGGCCAAACCATCCATTTCTACCTTTTACCTTGACTAAAATTTGTAAAAACGCCTCCATATGATTACTTTGTACGCAAAAAAAAAAAAATCCCGACCTACCTACCCTATTTTCGAATGCCATGTAATGGAAGCAGAACTGTTTTATTAGGCCTATTACATGTTTGTTTTTGGCCTAAGCAATGGTACACACTTTGACAAGCAGGTTTTTGTTTTCTTTCAAAGCTCCAACTAATAACTAAACCACTTGAGGACAAATGGCATGTTTACTTTCATTTCAGTTGTTTGTATACAGAGAAAAATGTTGTCGATTGGGATTTCCCAATTTTATTACATTGTGTGTCGCCATATTTGTGTGGTCGCTTTTGACTGTCATTATTGTGGTCATAATAATAAATATTAACCACAACAAAGGTATGACCATGAATTCTTCTACAATTCTAAATAATTCAATTCATCGATACTGAGTCACTCACAATACACTACGTTATTTGCATGCTCCATGGTGACACTGGATCAAACAGCAAACAAGTTGTGCTGTATGCAGCTTCCATGCTTTATAATGTACATGCATATCGTTTCGTTAACTTTTGATTTGGAATTAATTTGTATAATATTTTTTTGCATTCATTTTTGTTTGCTCATAATTTGAAAGATACAAGGCCTAAATGTACATTTCAAGTTTAATATGTGTGCAGATTCCCCCTTTAATTTACAGTGTTTGCCCTCCAAACATGTAAAAATGTACTAACATACGGTACATAGCGCTATTTAAACTTAAAGGGGATATAACATGTGTATACAATGTACAACATTTGCAAACATCGAAAAATAAAACTACCAAGTTTTTAAGAAATACCTTACTAGAATGTTGGTAAATGACAGTCTAAAGCATCCTGTAAAATTATGGCACCTGGTGTGAAGTCATTTTCAGGAAAATGGTATTTTTGTATACATTTCCAACGGTGGTCGGCCGACCATCGTTGGAAAAACCTAACCATATTTCAACTACTGCTCCAAATTTACCTTTTTTTCAGTCAAAATTTTGTTTGGTATTGGTTCCATGTTCATGAACGGGTGCAGGCCAGCTAGACTGGTTCCCTTACCTTACAATTTTCCGGCATTTTTGATCCATTTCATCTTTAGTGGAGTCAGGGAACCAGACTTCTTGAACATTTTTGTTTTTCTTGGTTTTCCAGCATTTTCGAACGCAAAACTTCAAACATGTCAGTGCAACAATATTTGATCTATTATACTAACCCCCCAAATAGTTTGTTTCTGAAAATTACAGCGAAAGCCAATAATGTACATTCCCTTTAAATTACGGTTCCGGCATGTACATTGTATACTTACATGTATGTGTTTTGTAATTTTTTTCATTTCATGTACAATGTACATTTTGTACAATGTACATACTGTACAGGTACAGTGTGCATGTAAAGGGTGAAGTGTAAATTGCAAAAGGAGTATCCATATTCATGTGTGGTACACATATTAGTTGATTTCCTGCGAATTCTGTAACTTCCCTTGTGAGAGCATGACCTCATGTACTGTGTAGTACAGGTACAAATGTACCAGTACACATGTGCCTGTACATTGTACATGTACGTGACCATCAGTGTCCAACATAGTACGTACACAGTATTGAAAGTTACCTGTCTATTTGCGGTCAACCAGAAACACAGTTGCCATATTTTAATTAGCAACAAGTACATGTTGTTTGTATCATAAATCATTTATTACATCACAAATTGTAAACTGAAAGTTGAGAGTTTACATTGGAGTATATCGATTGAAGAGTTCATTTCCAAAATGTGATATCCATTAAAAAAAGGGAAAAGTTCACAGTTATGAAAACTTAGGCAACTTATGAAAAAAAGCAGCAAACAGTTTCTCGCATTTCGAGAAAAGGGAAGATAAATTCTTCTGTTTTCTTGACTCTTTTGCTGATACTAATATGTATTCTGCTGCCTTTGTCTTGGAGTAAGATAAGGACATTATCACACCATACTTTTAAGGTTTTGCCACTTCTAGTGGCCTTTATATTTTGTTTAAGTACTTATATTACTTTTTCATTTCTGTCATGAAGAGGAAATAAATGTGATTTGAATTTCATACTTGTACATCACACATACCATATCACATCACACATGTATTATATGACATGTATGCATTTATGTTTATTATATCACATGTATTTATGCATTTATGCACCAGTAGTTATACATTGTAGGCCCCTAACTACTGGTACATTGTTTTCCTAGATTGTATCCGGTTTCCAAATGCCTTCAGAATTATTATTTTGTATTTTTACTTAAGATACAAATAGTCTCTGACTGGAAAAATGGATTTAAAAGGCAACTGCCTTAAGCTTGTCCCATTAATAATTAAATGATAGTCTTGTGTGTATGGGATGTTTGCTCAGTTAAAAAAGAGGCTATACATTTATACACAGTTTGCAAGCCATTTGAACGGATTGTTCATGATAACTTTGCAACCTGCAAATGTTGTACTTATCTTCATCCTCGTTTTGCAGGTTAAGACTTGCTTTAATTTTGTCCCAATTTAATACTTCAGTACAAGGAACAAATATAACCACTGTTTGATTTACAAAATAGAAAAAGAAAGGACAATTTAAATGAAATAATAATATTTTTTATTTAGGTCCAGGAGCTGACGGTAAGCCAGAACTGATAAGGAGACCCAAGAGTGTTGTTGCAGCTCGGCCGCTGTCTGGGGCTGATATAGCCAAGCCTGAACCATGGATGCCTGGGTCGACATACACGCTGTCAACTGGAAGGAAAACTGAGGTATGCGATTACAAAAAAAATGTAGGACTGTGCTATTACGGGTAATTTGAGAAACGGGTACACGGTTGGTTGGTTATTCGGATGCCGACTGGAGAGTTGAAAGATGCATTTCCCATGCTATTCGTCGGTTATTCGGATACCGACTGGAGAGTTTAAAGATGCATTTTCCGTGCTATTTTCGAGTTTCACCTTGAAAAATATTTATTTTTTTTCAGTTGCTGTTTTCCTAGCAATATAAAAGTTATTCACTTTTGAATGAGACAAATATAAGACAAACAAAATCATTTTTGAAAGAGCATTGGGCATGCATCTTTAAAACGTCAGACCACTTGGCACTTTCATATTTACCAACGCTCAGCAAATTTACATGTAAACGGGAGTTTGTAATTATGCCCAAAAGACACTTCCTCCGCTGTTCTAAGAAATATTGGTTAAGAATTTGTAAAAAAGCCAAAAAAGACAGAGAAAACACATAAAAAACTTGCTGTCTGCGGAGAGAATACAGTCATACATATGCTGTATTACATCAGTGAACATGAATAAACCCCCAGATGGGTAAAGTGAAAGCTTTGGACAAAATGGTTCTTGGAAAATGTCTTGGAAGATTTTAGCAACAATTGTACTATCATCCCCCCCCCCCCCCCAGGCTGCTCGAGTGTTCTTCGGTGATGGACTTTTTGATCTCGCAACCGAAAAAGACGAAGAAGCCTCTGCCTTTTCTGCAACAGTTGCCAGGTCAGTGGGTGTGGTTATTACACCTCATGCATATTCATACATTGTGGGTCAAATACACAGCCAATTGTTTGAGAATGTGTGGTTATTACACCTCATGCATATTCATGTGTTGTAGGTCAAGTACACAGCCAATTGTTTGAGTATGTGTGGTTATTACACCTCATGCATATTCATAGGTCAAAATCTGAGTAGTTCAACTCTATGTGTGGTTATTATACCTCATGCATATTCACAGGCAAAATACACAGCAATCTCAGTTATCTAAGTATGTGGTTTTTTATATCGTGTGTACATGTAAATGTATTTTCATATCGGCCAAATACACAACAAATCTAAGTAGTTGAAATATTATTTCGAATTGTGTCTTTCAAAGATAAACAGTAGATGTAATTATTTCATGACCACTTCCTTTTTCATACCATGCACAGTTTCCTTCTTACAAATCTCCAGTGCCACTGACTGAATTGACGAGCCAGGTTTTTCCCCAAACAGAATTAATTCACTTCATAAGCTCACTTAAAGGAAATATACATACGTACAACATTTGCAAACATCGAAAAATAAAACTACCAAGTTTTTACGAAATACCTTACTAGGATGTTGGTAAATGACAGTCTCAAGCATCTTCTAAAATTATGGCACTTGGTGTGAAGTCATTTTCAAGAAAATTGTATGTTTGTTAACATTTCCAACGGTTGTCGGTCGACTAGCGTTGGAAAAACCTAACTTTTTCAACTACTGCTCCAAATTTACCATTTTTTTTCAGTCCAAATTTTGTTTGCTATTGGTTACATGTTCATGAACGGGTGCAGGCCAGCTAGATTGGTTCCCTTGCCTTACAATTTTTCATCATCTATAAATTGATCCATTTTATCTTTTGTGGAGTCAGGGAACCAAACTTCTTGAACATTTTTGTTTTTGTTTTTCCAACCTTTTCGAACACAAAACTTCAAACATGTCAGTGTAACAATATTTGATCTACATTGTATTATACTAACCTCTCAAATAGTTCATTTCTGAAAATTACAGCAAAAGCCAATGATGTACTTTCCCTTTAAACTTCCTGTATTGAAAGCTAACATTTCCTTCCTTGATTTGTGGCTTTTGATTTTAGCAAGTTCATATTTAAATAATTCCTGATCATGTTACCAGCGTGAGCAATATTAGACTCTTGGCAAAAATCCAACCTTTGAGTTATGAGCACTTGTGTACATGTTTGCACACACAGAATATACAGTACATAAATTAAATACAGAAATGATGAAATAGGAATACATTGGAGAAATGAAAGCAGTTTAAAAAAATATTGGGATTATTTTTACTTATTTTGAAAACTTCATGATACAGTCTCATCTTCATATGTACCTGTATGCATTTGAAAGTTAAGCAAATATTGTTTTTTGCTTAGGCCGAGAAAAACAGATTGTGTGTTTACAACAGTTAGGACCTAAAAATTATCCAGTTACACAAGGAAGATAGGAAAATAATTTTATTTTGTAAATTTTGTTTGATGTTTGTCTGTTGGTCTTTCTACCTCCTTTGTTTACTTTTGGGTTTCTTTCATAGAGCTGTGTTAAATTACTAGAGCACTAACTCCTCATTCCCCCGCAGAGAGACTTTGAAGCCATCCTGAGCACAGGCATTTTGAATTCACATGCGTGTTTGTGCAGAACCTAACAAAATCAGATGGAATAAGGTTCGAATAATGTACTTTAAATGCAAACAACGTACATGTACAGTGCGTTTTCTATGAGTGTGAAGAACACGTTTGCATTGTTTGCGCAGAGCAAAATGAAATGATCATTTACTGATTGTGCTTTTCGGTTTTGGGCGTATCGGCTTCGATAACGTACTGGTATAGAATACAAAGGAAGATATAGCGGTACTAAAACTGTACACAATTTTGAGGTTTTGATATGTTTGTGCACAAACATTGATGCGCCCAGCAGGCTTCACTTTGTACCTAGCGCTCTAGTAATTAATTTAAAATAGCTCTATGGTTTCTTTAAGAGTATTATTATTTATTTTTTTAGAGTATTATGTTTACTGAACGTGTTTTATTATTTAATTAACCACTAACACACAAAACATGGGAGACTTTCTATTTTCAAAGTATGCTTTATTTTAAACTTTTACCAAATGTGGCAATAAAAATGTTGAGGTCGAAAAAAATTCATGTGCAATGTAGGGTCAAGTTATCGTAAACACACAATTCCTTTTTTTTAGGCCTTACCAAATTGTTGTTAATTTTTTCGTTTTTTTCATAAAATTGTTATTTATGCAGAATTCGGAATTGTTACAATTACGATGACCCGGTTACCAACCCAGGGTACATCCACAGCCCGGTATTCGTCAATCACTGCCACGCTTATATGGAAACCAGTGTCAAAGTGGTACTCCTGCAGTCGGGTACCAACAAGCCAATCGTCTTCACGTGTGACGGTAAGTGATTCACAGAAGAGACAGTAACAAAAAAAGGAAACGAACTTGCTTAAGTTTATGTCGGTTTTTCTTTAAAAACCCTGTTGTGCTTGCTATAAAAAGTGACATCCTTTTCGCAAAAAAATGAAGAATTCTCTGCGATCACTTTTCACTTGATCCGAAATAATTGGGGGTTAATTGTGAAAATTTCAGACAGTTGTTAAAGGTTTTCCAACATGTTGTAATATTTTTGCAAAGTGACTCTATGAAATTGGGCCCAGAAATCTCAAAACTTGCCAGCCCACTTGCCAAGCTCGGCAGTCAAGTGGTTGGGACATCAGTAGTAGTAAGCAGGAGGTCGTGGGTTCGAGTCCCACCCGAGTAGGCTTGTGGTATTTTTTTATCAAAGTCTATTGGAAGAACTAAGCACATCCTTAGGATGTGTGACAAAATCGTATTAAAAATGGAGGATATAGGACTGTTTGGTTAAACTACAGGGTGAGTAAAAAAAACAACGAAACCCAAATGTCAGGAATATTGTTTTAGTGAAGTTCTGCATGTAGCACTTCCAAAATCTAGGATATGAAAGCTCAATTAATAAGCTTTCTTTTAGTACAAGAACCATTCAAATCACTCATGTACTTTTCAAGTTATGGAATTTTAAACACAACCACCGTTTTAAAGTTCTGTCCACAGACCACAAAAAAGTGCGTTCTTTCAGCAAAACGAAAACAATTCCCACACATCCCTATGTGATTTGTTTTCGTTTTGCAAAATGAAAACAATTCCCACACATCCCTATGTGATTTGTTTTTGTTTTGCAAAATGAAAACAATTCCCACACATCCCTATGTGATTTGTTTTCGTTTTGCAAAACAAAAACAATTCCCACATATCCCTATGTGATTTGTTTTTGTTTTGCTGAAAGAACACTTTCCTTTTTGTGATTCAAGGACAGAACTTTGAAATGGTGGTTGTGTTTAAAATTCCTTAACTTGAAAAGTACATGAGTGAAAGTGCTACACGCAGAACCTCACTAAAACAATAGTCCCGACATCTCGGATTCGTTTTTTTTTTACTCACCCTGTATTTCATGCTTGTTTTTGACAGTGAACATCTACGTACAGCATGTCATCAGCCAAGCCCTGTGCCATGAAGAGGTTTCGGATATCTCTAGCGACGTGTTTGTCTTGAAAGTGCCAGGCCTCGCAGAATATCTCCACAAGTAAGTATGAGTTACATGTATCTAGCAGGTGTCGTTAACCAAAACCTTTGTTTGTGATTGACTTGTGATTGACTCTTGATTCAGTTGCGATTGACTTGTGATGGACCTGTGACTTACATGTACTTAAGATAGACTTGTGATTGACTTATGATTGACTTTAGATGGATTTGTGATTGATTTGTGATTGACTTGAGATTGACTTGTTTTTGACTTGTGATGGACTTGTGATGGATTTTTGATTGACATGTGATGAACTTGTGATTGACTTGTGATTGACTTGTGATTGACTTGTGACTGACTTGTGATCGGCTTGTGATTGACTTGTGATTGACTTGTGAATGACTTGTGATGGACTTGTGATTGACCTGTGATCGACTTGTGAACGACTCGTGAACGACTTGCGATGGACTTATGATTGACTTGTGAATGACTTGTGATTGACTTGTGATGGAATTGTGAACAACTTGTGATGGAATTGTGAACAGCTTGTGATGCACTTGTGATGGACTTGTGATTGACTTGCTATTGATTTGTGACTGACTGGTCAATGATTTATCACTTATCAGTGACTTTTGAGGACTTGTCAACAACGTGAAATAATGTAACACTATATTGGTTTGCTTTGCAGTGATGTGAAACTGAGTAGTTACGAGTACGTCCAAGAATGTCTCAAGTTGGATCAAGATGTTAAACTGGTCTTGCTGCATCGGGCCGAAATGTGGAACAACCTTAGCAGAACGGTAAGTTGAAAGACATGGACAAATGGGAAGACCGCTGAAATAAGGCTCAGTTGGTAGAGCACTGGCGCAGTATTCTAGAGGATGCTGGTTCAAATCCAAGTTCAGTTAATTCATTTGTTTGACCTTATATTGAAGTTTTATTTATTTATTTTGTTTTGACAGCTTGAAGATGATGAAAGTGATATTTCAAAGATCAATTTCTTGAGTTTGTTTGAGCGGCCTGTTACAACCGCTGTTTCCAAGTAAGTTGAACAAGATTTTCTTTTTATAATTGATCTTGATTTTGGCCAAAAAAGTGGGATATAATTTACTGTTGTAACTGGTGTTTACATTTTTGACCATTAATACATAATTCTGCATTCTCAGAAATATTCATTGTTTAAGATATTTAAAAGTTCTTTTGAAACGATATTTATAACTGTACTTCTTTTTGTGTCAGGAACAGGTTTGGTTTCTGAAATGTTCTAGACAAAAGACTGAATGAAGAAATTAACTCAAGAAAAGGAGCTTGCAAAAGAAATTTGAATTATTATTCTTGATAATGACATCTACAAATGACATAAAAATGCTGCTAATACAAGACTTTGGAAAAATCTAAGTTGACATACATTGTAAGTTTGTCTAAAATCATTACCCCCCCCCCCTCCCCCTTTTATTTTGCTATTTATTTCTGTAGCGCCATACCCGGTACATATATACACCTAAGTTTTCTTTGGGACATTTTTTTTTTAAAGCACGGGAATTTTTTAATTTTCTTTGTTTGAATTTTAATAAAAGCATCAGTTATCCAACTGGTGAAAATTGTTTTTAGATAATGCTTTTTGTCCTGACTGAAACTTCAACTTATCGCAGGTGGAATTTTCAAACAGTTGAACGATGTGAACAGTAAGTGTGTCAATCTTCACTAACCTAAGGAGCATCATGTGCATAATGGAGCTTTTGTTTTATACAGACACTTGCATGGCAAGCATCTTTTTTTAGACGAGAAACTTTGACAGATATGGAGGGCCCCTTGTAACAATAGTCAGTGATGATTTATTGTAACTTTAAAGGCTTCAATTTGTTTGATTTTTTTGTTTTTGCATTGTTCTTTTTGTTTTGGTCTTAGGGTGCTTCATACTTTTGATTTCTGCTCAACCCACAATATTTAGGCAGGTTGCATGACTTCCGATCTCATGCCCAGTTTTCACCGAAAACCATGTTTACGTATTTTTCTTGCTCAAATTAGAATGAAAAATTGTTGTTAATTAAAATTGAGTAACTTAAAAAGTGTGTCCCAAAACTACATTCCATGAGATCTGAAGGAACGCATGCATTTAAGGAAACTTGTCAACATTTGCGTGCATATGGGCATTTCAAGCATTTTGTAATGTCTGTGACCAGGTGACACAGCTTTTAAGAGCTCAGTGAATAAACCTGAACATGTATTTTTCAAATCTTATACATCCATCATCTAGTAATGGTCAAGTAGATTACAGACTAGGAGCATTGGATCATTTCTCTGAATCATTAATTAGATATGGTTAATTGGCTCTGTCACAGATGTTACACTTCCTTTTCTTAACGCTGGAATTGCCCGTATGTCAATTCAAAAATTGATCTGACTTGAGTTTTGAAAAGCAGAGATCGGAGTATGAAAAAACGGCTTTCTCTTCTTCTTTCCTGTTCTTGATAGGAAGGGTCTTGATGTGCTTCTGAGTGCTTTCACTGTTGAAGGGGACAAGATCAAAGCAGCAGTCAAAGTGAGTTGCATTGACAATTTCTTCTTTGTTTACAGATTGTACTTTTTGGCTATTTATACAACCTGTGAAACAAATCCCGCACTACAGAAATCAGGACAAACTTTCAAAATTGTTTAACCATATTTGAGACATGGGGCCATTTTCACGGCGCTGCTCAGCACAAAAAATTGCTTAGCACAAAACAAGTCTGGCTTATAAAAGCAGGTTACCAGCCAAAACTCCATGTGATGTATAATGCTCATGATTAATATTCTGCCGTTGTTTGTCTAGCATGAAAATCACATGGAGATTTGGCTGGTAACCTGCTTTTATAAGCCAGACTTTTTTTTTTGCTAAGCACATTTGTGTGCTTAGCAGTGCCTTGAAATTGGGCCCTGCTCCAGTGAAATTCAGGCAAAGTTGCAGAAGTTTTTTTCACAAGAAGGGCATGTAAAGTCATTTCGGGGTGGACCTGACCATTTTGAAGTTTTGAAATTTTCCAAATCAGTAACTATAAATTTACAACCTCCCAAAATATGAATATAATCCATCAAAAAGAAGTGTGTGTTTTGGTTGATTTAGTGAAAAAAAAATGGGTATAGAAATTTATACAACAAGCATCTCAATATGGGCAATTCCACGGTTACTCACGTTACATTTTTGATGTACTTTTGAGTTTCCTTGGGCTGTAATTACCTTACTGAAAAGGTTTAATAACTGTTATCCCCATGGAAAATAGAGTAGACCTAGACCTACCTAAGCACTAAAGATGACATCCAGAAAAATGTGTCATGTATGATAAACAAGACGCACAAAATCGGTTACTCACGTTACGAAAATGTAACGTGAGTAACCGATTTTGTGCATCTTGTTTATCATACATGTACATTACACATTTTTCTGGATGTCATCTTTGGTGCTTAGGTAGGTCTAGGTCTACTCTATGTACCATGGGGATAACAGTTATTAAACCTTTTCAGTAAGGTAATTACAGCCCAAGGAAACTCAAAAGTACATCAAAAATGTAACATGAGTAACCGTGGAATTGCCCATATGCGTGTTTATCTCATAATTGGGTTGTCAGTCGTTTTTCACTTAATCATAGGTGATAGGGTCACGGTAGCTATGACAATCATATATCATTTTGAAGCTGAAATCCTCAGGAATTTGAAAATGCCTAAACCTAAAACAACAACATTTGCCAACTTTGTCTGGCTTCGTCAGAGCAGTTCACATTTATCTTACCAGTTAAATCTCAAACTTAAGAATTGCGTATGCTCTTTTTTAATGCATTTAAAGTGCAAAAAAAAATGTCTAAAGACTGACGTTGTTTGTCTGGGTACATTTTTGTTCTTTGCTTTTAGTCTGGCACCCAGCCCAAAACAGGACCCCTCATACAGACAGTCAAAGCCATATGCTTCACGCTGGCCACCGTGGAACCCAACGAGATTTCCACAGCAATACGCGAACTGCAAAAGTCGTCGGACCCCGAGGCTGTGTTCGAGAAAATCACGGCGGCCGTGCTGCAGTTGGTTGACATGTACTGTACGGCGTTTGACACCGACTTCAGGAAGGGTACCGATGATTCGGAGGAATCCGTGCAGGACATTACTGTGAAGGGTCATAACTTGAGGGTTTGTGTTGCCTCCGCGCACAGAATACCGAATAATGTGAAAAATGCGTAAGTGGAGGTGTTGTGCGACTTGTTCATGTCTTATTTCATTAATTTTCCATTTTGTTTGTGCCTGATTTATATAATGTGGTGCTTATTAAGCACTTTATACCAAAGGTCTCAAAGCGCTTCAAAATTATTTCCCCTGTTCATCAGGCCATCAGACCATTTATTTTCTGCAGCAGCTCAATATCAGCGCAATCTGGTCTCTACCCTCACAGGTACCGATTGGAGAGAGAGGCAATTGTAGTAAAGTGTCTTGCCAAAGCTCACAAGATCACATCCATGTTCCCCGTCAGCGTAACCATTAGTATGTTCTAGTCATCATATTAAGACTTTTTACGATCTGCAGTTGTTTAATATTCACTGTCTTTCTCTTTTTTTGTAGACATGAGTTCTTTTCCATCTCAGCTCAGCTGTATTACGGAGGCAATGCGCTTCATTTCCCTATCGACACCTGGCCTGCACGAATCAATAATTCCTTCTTCGACAAGCTAGCTTGGAACCAGGAGTAAGTGCAGGCTAACATTCTAAAAATTGACAGGAGCAGAATTTGAACCTGAGACCTTCCAAAACGCTGCACCGTTGCTCTACCAACAGAGCTATCCAATTTTATATTGGCTGTGGTGTGCCAGTCTTAATACAAGTCCCTTAAGTTTTACAACAAAGTTACATTTACATTTTGAGTTTGGTTTGAAAAAAAAAAAATGTACTGGGACAGGATTCGCATCTGCAACCTCTGGAATTCTGCAACGGTACTCTCCCACCTATATGTTGGCAGCCTCCCCAGTTTGTTTGTAGTTGCACTCTTCTATTGGCACCTATATTCCATCTCTTCCATTGACACCTATATTTTCACTCTTGTATTGGCACCTTTATTTCCTCTCGTCTATTAGCACCTATATTTCCACGCTTGTATTGGCACGTTTATTTCCACTCTTCTATTGGCACCCATATTCCACTCTTCCATTGACACCTTATATTTTCACTCTTGTATTGGAAGATATATTTCCACTCTTCTATTGGCACCTATTTTCCACTCTTCCATTGACAACTATTCTTCCACTCTTCTATTGGAATATATATTTTTACTCTTCTGATTGCACCTATATTCCATCTGTTCCATCGGCGCCTATATTTCCACTCCTCCATTGGCACCTATATTTCCACTCTTCTATTGGCACCTATATTTCCACTCTTCGAGTTGCACCTATACTTCCACTCTTCTATTGGCACCTACATTTCCTCTTTCCTATTAGCACTTATATTTCCCCTTTTCTATTGGTGCCTATATTTCCACTGTTCTAGTTGCACTTATACTTCCACTCTGTTATTGGCACCTACATTATCAATTCTACTGTTGGCACCTATATGATGCATGTCCACTTTACTTTTGGTAGCTATACACTTCCACTCTTTTATTGGTACCTATTAAGGGTAACAGAGCCAGATGGGTTTCTGGACACCCATCATGAAAAAAAAAAGGTTGGTTACTTAAATTATTCTTATACCCCATACCTGTATTGTTCGACGGACACAAATCAAAACTTGAAAGAGCAAAAACGACTCAAATGAAACCTAATCACGCATCTGTCTTTTCTCTGCTCTTCCTTACAAAATATATTGCAGACTTGAGCTTCCTGTTCCAGTCAGTCAACTACCCAGAGAGGCCAGGCTGATCTTCACTCTCTCTGGCCACGATAACTCCAGTGCCGATGCCCGCAACGTGGACAAAACCATCTTGGGTTGGGTGGCCATTTCAATCTTCAACTTCCAAGGGTAAATACTTTGTCTGCTGAAACCCATCTACCAGAAACCTGGGCCCAATTTCATGACACTATTAAAAATGACACAATTTTCTGTCCATTTCATGGCCACTGTATGCTCAAGTATAGCCTCCCTTTTTTATTTCAGAGAGCTTCAGACTGGCAGTCACTTGCTCGGACTTTGGGCTGATTCTTCCGTCAATCCCATCGGAACCTGCTCCTCAAATCTACTCACCCAGACTAGCATCATACTTCAGGTGAACAAAAAGTTTGCCATACTCTGCAACAAATTCATATTTTCCCCTCACAAGTATTTAATTATATATTTTTATTTAAAACCCCCACCAAATAAAGTATTCCTATTTCGGGCAACTGCAATATCTGAATAACAGAAGGCTTTTAGTTAAGGTTGCTCAGGCACTTGTGCATATTCATCTTGCAAGTAGGCTGGATAGCTCAGTTGGTACAATGATCAGGGGCCAATTTCACTGTGCTGCTAAGCACAAAAATGTGCTAAGCACAAAAAAAAGTCTGGCTTATGAAAGCAGGTTACCAGCCAAAACTCCTTGTGATGTATATTGCTCATGATTAGTATTCAGCTGTCGTTTGCTATAGGCATGAAAATCACGTGGAGTTTCGGCTGGTAAACTGCTTTTGAAAGCCATTTTTTTTGTGCTAAGCAAATTGTTTTGCCGTGAAATTGGCCCCTGGACATTGCAGATCAAATCCTACTCTAGAACTAGCGCCCCTTGTACAAAGATATTAAATTGGGGAATTGCCAACAGGGGACTGGATAGCTCAGTTGGTAGAGCACCGGAATGGTAATCCGGAGGTCGCAGGTTCAAGCTTATGAAAGCAGGTTACCAGCCAAAACTCCTTGTGATGTATATTGCTCATGATTAGTATTCAGCTGTCGTTTGCTATAGGCTTGAAAATCACGTGGAGTTTCGGCTGGTAAACTGCTTTTGAAAGCCATTTTTTTTGTGCTAAGCAAATTGTTTTGCCGTGAAATTGGCCCCTGGACATTGCAGATCAAATCCTACTCTAGAACTAGCGCCCCTTGTACAAAGATATTAAATTGGGGAATTGCCAACAGGGGACTGGATAGCTCAGTTGGTAGAGCACCGGAATGGTAATCCGGAGGTCGCAGGTTCAAGCTCCACTCCAGTCAATTTCTTTGTTTAAATAAATTTGTATAATTCGACTAGTCAGTTTCCCTTTGTGGTTCATTTGAAAATATATTTAAAGGCCGTATCATGTTTGAGTGATCCTGTTTGCTATTTCCCAGGCCAGCATCGTGACTTGGGGCGTGATCCCTGGCTACATGGCATATACGGGTTTATGGCTTCTGACTAGCGCCCCTTGAACAAAGATTTTGACGAATTGGGGACTGCCAACATAGGGCTGGATAGCTCAGTTGGTGGAGCACCGGAACAGCAATCCGGAGGTCGCAGGTTCAAACCCCACTCCAGTCAACAAAGTGTTATAATTCACCTAGTGGTTCATTTGAATTTTTGCTCATCTAGATAAACTTTGAGGATACCAAACATCGCTGCTTGTTCCCAGCCATTCAAGCCCTGGAGGGTAAGGTGTATGGCTTTGATATGTTGGAGCCTCACAACCAGCACCGAATCAAGGAGATCCTGGACAAAGACGCTCTCTCATCGTAAGTGTCAAATTGCATAGAATGCACTCTTCAAAAATTGTTTTCTCATCAATTTTGACTGTGTCTTAGATGTTGTAACACCCAAGGAGTGGTTCTTAACCGAAAAAAAGAAATCGGTTTTTGGGTTGGGAGGGGGAGCCTGAAAAAAATATTTGGAATAGTTTGGATTTTAGAGCCGTATTTAAAAAAAAAAACCTGAAAAGAAAGAATTGGAATAGTTTGGAGTTAAGAGCCGTATTTGAAAAAAAAAAAAATTGGGAAAATTTGTTTCATTCCAAATTAGGTCTGTGCATCAGAACCAAATAGCCAAGTATCCGAACGTCGATGTCAGGATTTGGTTCCAGATTATGGCATTGGGTACCCATAACCAACTGTACAGATAACTGAGTAACTTCTCGGACAATGAGAAAGAAAACTTGTGAATGTCATTTATGGGAAATTTTCAAAATGAAAACCAGGCTACATGGGAAAAACAAAACATAATTCCAGTTTTTGAGCTCGTGAAATTACAGTTTTCACCATAAAGCTATAGAGCTCACTGTATACATTGTACACCTGTATCTTGCTGCATCGATGCACCAATGTGCAAGTATTATCATGCGGACCTTTATGAAACATCTAAGCAGCAACTTCTGAGATTGGAATGTTGGGGTCAGCTTCTTTAACTGGCACCCGGGAACCCACATTTTTTTTTTCCAGTCTGGTACCCGTTTCCCGTACTACCCGAAATGCACACCCCAATTCCCAATGAATCTTAAGAAATGGACCGATTAAAGCAAATCTTTGTTGGTGTTCTGTAATTGTAAATAATTCCTTTGGAGGATTTTGTAGCTGTTACCATCTCATTATGTTGTGACTTATTTATTTATTAGTATATATTTTTGATGACTTGCAGTCTTAGCTCAGATGATGCCAAGTTCCTGTGGAGCAAGCGGCACTATCTCCATGACAACGCGTCAGCCTTGCCCCGCATCCTGGAGGTTGCTCCTTCCTGGGACTGGGCCTGCCTGGCCGACATCTACCCCCTGCTCAAGAACTGGAAACCAGTCAAGCCGGTGCAGACGCTGCAGCTACTTCACCCAAGGTAAGTAGGATGCTGTCTCCATGGCAACGCATCCTGGTCTTCTCCTTGAAAGTTGTCAATGGCTTAGTGCAGCTTCAGTAGGCTGTGTTAATAACAGAATGGGGACATTGAAATAATGCCTTTTTTAGTACAAACACTAAAAATATTACATTTATTGAAGCATTTCAGTATTCCCACTGAATCTTCAATGAAACTTGATGGGAACCAATTGCAAACAGTGTTAACCAGTTTGCACTGGGATAATTTTCACCGAAAAAGATTTTCGAAAAAAAGGCAAGACATAGCAACCAACTTTTGATTTACAGCCAAATGCCACAAATGCTGTTTCGCAAGAGTCGTTTCAACAGTTACCGCAACCTCGTATTTTTCAACACTCCAGGGTGAGTGTGCCACGGAGCGTAACTTGTTCCACAGCAGGCCAGGCACAGCGGCCAAGTTCAAGTACAACACACGGTCCGCCTCCACAGAATGCTCAAACTTTGTGTGTGTGTGTGTATGAAACAAATGGGGATTAGTGTGTTAAGATGTCATCCGGAGGCAAGTCAGAGTTCGACCTTAACTTTTTTGTTCACTAGCCAGCCGGGCTACTGAAACGGACTCTTAACTAGCCCGCGGGCATTTTCACTAGCCTGCATTTTTATTCTTATCTCAAATACAAAATGGCGTATTTTCAGGCTCAATTCTGCGGCAATTTTGTCAGTGTTTTTCATTAACAGATCTAATAATTTAACCCTTTAAAACAGTTGATAAAATTAGACACAAATGGATGGGGTTTTCTTTCTGAATTTAATGATTTATTTCTTCCTGTATGTTCATCTTTGCCATATCCCAATAATTTTTCACTTGCCAGCCGGGCTACTTAAGGAATAGTTTGACTAGCCCGCCGCTGTTTTGACTAGCATTTGGCTAGCGGGCTACCGCTAATTTTGAACCCTGCAAGTCGTTGTCACAGATGATTGAGTGGCTATGGGGGCGCCTCTGTGTATAGAAACAGCCAGATTGTGTTAACACACCATCCAACGTGAAGCTGTTTTGGGATTGAGGATAGCAGTGTTGTAATCAAGTCCATCACAAGTCCTTTCACAAGTAACAGGACGAACAAAGGAATGCTTTTGTGACAGTTCATTTGAATAGCTAGTGACTTGACTTGAGACTGAAGGACTTGTGATGGACCTGCAGGGACTTGCAGGGACTCGAATACAGCACTGTTGGATGGTAACCGCTTACGTCTTTCATTGTGATCCATATAGGTTTGCCGATAAGGAAGTGCGTTGCACAGCAGTCAAATGGATGCAGTGTATTTCGGATGATGAGCTCTGCGACTACCTGCCACAGCTTGTTCAAGTCAGTACTTTTAATTTCATTTCTCCCAATTTTATTGATAAGACTTTTCTCTTTGCTTGAAGCCTGACTTTAGGCCTGATGATTTGAATTGTGATTGACTTGAGTGCAACTTTAGAAAGTGCCTTTTCGGTTACTGCACTTAGCTTTCTAGGAAAAAATACTATGGTTTGAGGGGTGTGGCCTAGTGGTTAGGGTTTGTGAATCCTGATCAGAGGGTCAGGGGTTCGAATCCAGCTGCTTGCCATATGCTGTGTCCTTGGGCAAGCCACTTCCCCTCCACTTGCCTTTCTCCACCCACGAGTATAAATGGGTACCAGCATTAGCTGGGGAGTAACCTGCTATGGACTGGCATCCCATCCAGGGGGAATAGAAATATTCTCTGAGATAAACGCCGGCCTGATGGGCCATGTTGGCCTGTGACAGACTTTACATACAGAGGTTCCTAGTCAAAAACACAGTGTGTGGGTTCGTAAGGCCCAAAAAAAAGAGTCTCCGGTTTCTGGTATGCGCGCGTCGCCGTAGCCATGTGCGTCGGCAAAATGAAAAAGTTTTTTTTTCAATGAAAGATGATGTCTCAAAACCGCCAAACTCACTGGTTTGACTGGAATCCTGCTGCTGCACAATTTTAACGTGTTTTTGGACTGGGTTATGGTCGAGAATAAGCTTTATGTGGCCTCTCTGGACTCCCATATATTTGCACTAAGTTTAGTCGGGCACCATTTGCAGTCATCAGCCGACATTTGAAGCAAAAAAATCAGGTAAAAAAACAAAAAAAAGCCGCGTCGCCGCACCACTTTTTGGGCAAGCTCCATACCAGAAACCGGAGACTTTTTTTTTTTGGCCTAAGTAACGGCCTTCCATTTTTATCTTTATAGGCTCTGAAGTATGAGAGCTACCACGACTCAGCTCTTGCACGATTCCTGATTGAGAGGTCAATACAGAGCATCAGGGTCTCGCACTTCCTGTACTGGTGAGTCAGATTAATGTCAAGATTAACGTGGATTAAGATGGATTAAGGATTAGATACTTCATATGGGATTTGTGAATAAGGTTTGTAATTAGGATTATGGAAAGGATAAATGATCATCAGGGAGTGATGGATTCATGAGTGAGATCAATCAGATTAGTGAGGTTCAAGGAGAGGATTAAGGATGAGGGGTTAGTGAAGGGATTTGTGATTGAGGTAAATGAGGAGATTTTTGTTTAGGATTGAAGAGAAGGTAAAAAGGTGAGGACATTTTTGAGGATCAATAAGATTGGGGTTAGGGATTAATTATGGGATTAGCGGGTGAGATTAGTGAGATTCAGAAAGATCAAAGTGAGGATTAGGAATCAGTGATTAGTGAAGGATGATATATGGGATGAGCAGGTGAGATTAATGATATTTAAAAAGTTAAAGTGAGGATTAGGAATCAATGATTAGTGAAGGTTGATATAAAGAAAAGAGAAGTGCAGGTTAAAGAGATATGGGTTGGTGATTGAGGATAATCAGATAATTAATGATGAGTTTTTCGTCTTTCTTCAGGTGTTTGAAGGACAGTCTTCGTGAGCAGCAGTACAAGCAGCGGATTGAGATGATCCTAGGAGCGTTACTCAGCGTCTGCTCTAAGGGTCTGAGGCAGCAGTTCAGGCTCCAAGAAGCTCTGATTGAGAACCTCAACAGTATCGCTGAGCAGGTGAAATCGGCCAAGGATGCGAGCAGGATGGTAAGGGGTGGAGCCTAGCATGTAAAGGGGGTGGAAATGGGAAGGGATACAAAAATAAATGAAACCTTTGTGTCTGTTCTTGTATGAAAAAAAATTGTATTTGTGAGGCGTTCTTGCAAACTGAGACAGAACTGGGCAGAGGTCAAAGAGGAAAGAGGAAAAAAACTTCTTACAATACTGTTTGTTGCACTTATTTATTTATTTATTTATTTATTTATTACATTTCTGTACCCAGGGTATACCCAAACAGTTTAAAACTGGTTTCCATTGGAGCCCTGCTTACATGGCATGCAATAAAAGATGACTGCAAACATGTATACAAATACAATATGTTACAAATACAATACAATACAATACAATGGGATAAAAGCATTATTTGATTAATGCATAATGGTTAAGCAAATATTATAAATACAATATATTGTAAAACTATTATAACTACATGTACAGTGTGAAACAACATCGGTATCAGGCTTTACTATACGGTGAATTCAGTGTACACAAAGAATTTGGATCTGTCTTGTAACATCAAGACAATGTATTGCTATTCGCTGATTACGGGACGAAAAACCCGCGAAAAAGCCTTTTGGAAGAAAACATGGGGAAATTCCCATCCGGCTCCTTATTGTGGCAACTCGGACATTCTGTTGACAAGTTATGGCTTGTCCGAGTGATCCCAATTGGTTTGTCCCAGGTTTGCAGCATCTATCCAGCACCCTGACTTTAGAAGTGATTCATGGCTACGTTTCCAAGTATAAAAAGCTTGTGACTAGCATCCTGAAAAGAAATCTCGACAATTTGAAACACTGTCGGCTATTCCGCAGTGGGTTTTTATGAATGGGTTTTGACCAGTAGTTCTCTGATTTGTGAACAGTCGTTACTGCATGGGGGCCTCGAAACCGTAGCCGCACAACTTGACGATCACGTGCACGTCCCGACAAATCCTTCACTGGAAGTCAAGGGGATCAACGTACAGGTGAGCTACTTGCATTATAATCTTTTAATCTCTGCCTAGCACAATGGCACAGCAATAATAATTAATAATAATTGTGCTTATATAGTGCTTTTCATCGTATCAACGATCTCAAAGCGCTTTCCAATTATTACCCCGTTCATCAGGCCATGGAACCACACGGCAGCCGATATCAGCGCTCAATCGGTCCTCGACCCTCACAGGTACCCATTCATACTCCTGGGTGGAGAGAGGCAATTGTAGTTAAGTGTCTTGCCCAAGGGCACAAACACCATGTCCTGTCCGGGTTCGAACCCACGTACCTTCGTACAAGAGTCAAACACCGTAACCACTGGACCATGGCGTTCTCCGCTATGTACATTATGACATGCGCTGGAACTAGTGATACACCTATTGGTAGTCTTGGTTGGCTTGGCCAAATAATCAATTGGACATGCTGGACTTGGTTCATCATAGTTATTTATAAAACTTGCTCTTATTGCTTTTTTTCAATTTTTTTTTTGGGGGTGGGGGAGCAAAGTTGGATGTATTGTTTTAATGGCAATCAATTGGTACCTATTTGGATGTGTTCGCATTTAAAGTTAAGTTTATCATCATTGCTGTGTTTGATTTCATTGTTAATCCCCTTTATATAACACCCAAGTAAATTCTCGTCATTTGATGGGAGGATTGTAGTTCACGCGGCATTCATTAATCGAACCATTGCACGGCCTACGTCATAACTGCATTTGTGGTTCCATTCACCGTGCATCTTCGTCCCATCCCTTTTGATCTATTGCACGCTGCGCGCACGCTACAACGCGCAGCGAACCGGCGCTATACGATCTTTGCGGTATTTAGACCATATCATGCGTTGTAGCATGCAGTTGCCTTGATGATTTTTTTGCATTGTTTTAAGAACTTACAATGTTAATTTTCGTTACTGTCAATGATGTCACTTTTAAACCTTTGTTAGCCTTGAACAAGCTGAAAAAAAGTAGTGGGTATGATACAATTTTGTGAGTTTTATTTGTTCTTCAAGTTTTATCCTCCAATCGAATGACAAAGATCTTCTTGGATGTTATATAAAACAAATAATGAATGTTTTGCATTCATGCTACGGTGAGAATATTCCATTATTCGCCTCGTTGAATGGAACATTAAGTCTTTCAACTCATGAAAATATTCTCACCATTGCACTCACAAACATTCATTATTTGTATAATATTGAGTTTTATTTTCTTCTTTTGTTTCACAGAATTGTGCTTACTACAGCTCGTTCACCGTGCCGTTGAAGTTGGTTCTGTATAACGCTGATCCACTGGCTGACGATGTGACTGTTATGTTCAAGGTTTGTAAACCTTACAAAATGAGGATATTTGAGCAGTTCTTTCTTTGTCTTCTACCTCGGCTTTTGGCCTTATGTCAACAAGATCAAATTTCCAAGCGCAGAATGTTTCTGAAAATTTGAGCAAATTGACACATTTGTTTCTAATTTTACATGATTTTCAAACTTTATTTTGTGTTTTATATGAGTATTTACTTACAAGTTTCACACAAACTACAATTGTCATTTACAGGGTTTGGCTACTGAAACAGACTCTTAACTAGCCTGCGGGCATTTTTACTAGCCTGCATGTTTTTCTTTTAGAGTGTCTAACAAACAACAATGTGCATACATGTAAAACTCGTATCCTGAGGCATTCTTGTCAGTGTTTTTAATAAACAGATCTAATCATTTAACCCTTAACAGTTAATAGAATTAGACACAAATTGATACACGTGTGCAATCTGAATTTAATGATTGATTTCTTCCTGCCCTTTTCATCTTTGCCGTATCCCAATAATTTTTGACTTGCCAGCCGGGCTACTTATGGAATAGTTTGACTGGCCCGCCGCTGTTTTGACTAGCAGTTGGGTACTGGGCTACCGCTAAAGTCAAACCCTGATTTATGTTTTCACTTCATCGTTGGAGTTGCTCATTAAGTTTTGGCTTTTATCTTATTCTTACGTACAATGTAGGCTGGTGAAGACATGCGACAGGACATGCTGACGATGCAGATGATTCGCATCATGGATAAACTCTGGCTGTCCGAGGGTCTGGATCTGAGAATGATTACGTTCAGTTGCATGGCAACGGGACCCAACAGAGGTAGAAAGAGTTTCAACTTTTTCAAGATTTTTCACTGAAATGGTTTGATTGATTAGGTATCACTGGTGAATTCTTCCTTTTCCGCAGTGCTAAGGGGATGACACATTGCAATATATCAAAATGAAACATAAGTAAATCACAAGTTAGTCACAGGTACATAACAAGTCAGATCACGTACCGTTACAAATCAAATCACTAGTCAAATAAAAAAATCACATCATAATGTCCTCATGACTCCACTTCAATTTTTACCTAAAATATGTCCCTGTCTATGTACACACAAATGTTCAGCACAATTGGACCTGTACTTCTTGAGATTCTCGGGCTTTGAAAAATGCACTTAACACATGATCACGTCAATGTTCGGCAGTCATCTTTGGGCGGTAGTCTATGTTTGTGAACAGATTAAACTCGATCGGATCTATAAAAGTGCCAAAAGTGATTTGTAAAAGAAAATACAAAAATAATAAAAATAATAATAAAGAACATTTGTAAAGCACCAGTATCCTTCTAAAAAAAAAACGCTCATGGCGCTTGAGGAGAAAGTCAAGTTAGGATTGTGTGTTGTGAGAGTAAGCTTGTTTGTACAGGTGAGATTTTATGTTTGTCTTAAATGTTGTGATGGATGGAGATGATTTGATAGCCAGAGGGCGTTGGTTCCACACTCGGGCTGACGCTGCAGTAAAGGATCTGTCACCCCACAGAGTGGAGGTCCTGGGCTCGTGAAGCATCATGAGCTCACTTGAGCGGAGTCCGGTGCGTGCTGTTGAGTACGGGTGGATGAGGTCGATGAGATACTCCGGCGCATTGTTGTGGAGGATTTTGTACACGAATAGGCCAAGTTTGTATTTGATTCTGTATGATACTGGTATGATACTGATATGATAAATATACCAATGAAGTGGGAATTTTTTTTTTTTTTACGAATTCAAGAGCTGTTTCGGCTCATGTCTGAAACAGTTTATTAGTAGTCAAATTACAAAATAGACTCAAGACAATCACAAGTCAATCACAAGTAAGACACAAGTCAATCACAAGTCAATCGCAAGTCAGACACAAGTCAATCACAAGTCAAAACACAAGTCAATCACAAGTCAATCGCAAGTCAGACACAAGTCAATCACAAGTCAAAACACAAGCCAGTCACAAGCCAATCACAAGTCCATCGCAAGTCTAGCACAAGTCAAATCACATTTCAAACACAACCAAAACACAAGTAAATCACAAGTTAATCTCAAATGAATCTTCTTGGTTTTGTTCTAGGTTTGGTTGAGCTTGTTGAGGACTCAGAAACGATGCGCAAGATTCAAGTAGAGCACGGCCTGACCGGATCATTCAAGGACAAGCCCCTCGCCATCTGGCTGCAAAAACACAACCCAACGGAGCTAGACTACCAAAAGGTACATAAAGCCTAAAATTGAAACTCGGCAAGAAACGGTACACATATTGCAGTCTGCCAATACATGAAGAATGCACCAACATCCATGACATCTGACCAGAATTTTGTCAGATATCACTTAATATTTTTTTTCTCAAATCTGAGCAGGTTTTACGTCAAAATTCACTCTTTGAAATAAGAATGCGAAATCACACAGCTAGATACTGGGTCATTCCATAAATTTGTGGGCCAAAAAAAAGTGACAGTTTGTGTCCCTGTTACACCTGACCTGTGTAATTTGCCATGCAAGTAGCATTAAAATTGACTTGCATTGTAGCACTATTTTTGTTTTGTTTGGCAGGTACTTGGCATTACATAATCACTCTTGGAGATAGAAGGCATAAAAGAATGTGTCCTGAATTTACAAAATCTTATATCAAATGTAACAGGGACACACAAAAATGGACCCAAATTTATGGAATGGGCCTACAATGGTACCAACAAAATAATGATAATTAACTATTTGGGCGGCTAGTCATCCTTACTCACAGCTGAGAAGCTGAATTGTGAAGGACGCTACAACGTGTCAAACATGTCCCTGACGTATTAAGAAGAACTCCCCATGTAACGGAATGAACGAGTCCCCATTTGCATAGCAGTGCCTGATTGGATCTCACTGCAAAAATGTACTGCATATGTATTGCGCTGCTTGCATATATGAATAACAGTGTGGGAACGTGATTGTAAAGTCGTTAGATTTGTCGCAACCTGGCTGATTACGTACTAGTCTTATACCAGCAGCGCTGATGGAGTTCGACTGAAGTTCACGGATAAAATACGACCATCTAACGACTTGCCATCAAGTCTAACCCATATCAAGACATAGGAACTGAGTTTTGATTCACGTCACCCACAAATTATTACAAAAATGTTCACTTTTTTTTGTTTATGTTTTTTTTTCCTTGTTTGGTCTTTACAGGCGGTTGAGAATTTCACTTTTTCCTGTGCCGGTTACTGCGTGGCAACTTATGTTCTCGGTATAGGTGACAGACACAATGACAACATCATGGTGACAAGGACGGGCCACATGTTCCACATTGACTTCGGGAAGTTCCTTGGCAACGCACAAATGTTTGGGAGCATAAAGAGGTAAGGGTTATCTTAGTTATAATTAATAATTAGTTGAATTAGTACCAAGTAAAAGTACTACAACACTGGAAAAATTACTCGAGTAAAACACTTCTGACCATTGTCCATCATCAAACTCACTCAGTAAATCAGATTTTCTAGATTCCCTGTCCCCTTTTTATAAAAAAGGTAATTTTTCTTTCTCCAAAACTTGTCTGATTCAGGGACCGTACCCCCTTTGTTTTGACGCCCGAGATGGCTTACGTCATCAATGGTGGTGAGAAACAGAGCAGTAACTTCCAGAACTTTGTGGACTTGTGCTCAGCGGCTTTCAATCTCGTCCGACATCATGCTGATATTTTCTTCAACCTTTTCGGCTTGGTAAGAAAATCACTTGCAGTGTTTGGAAGATTGAGGGAGTGTTGGAAAGTGGTTAGGGTTTGTAATTCCTGATTAGAGGGTCAGGGGTTCGAATCCAGCTGCTGATCAAATGTGGTGTCCATGGGCCGACATCATGCTGATATTTTCTTCAATCTGTTTGGCCTGGAAAGAATATCACTTACATTTGTTGTGTTAAAGGAGTGTTGGAGAGTGGTTAGGGTTTGTGACCCATGATCAGAGGGTCAGGGGTTCAAATCCAGCTGCTGGTCAAAGGTTGTGTCCATGGGCAAGCCTGTCCACTCCCACATGCCTCTCTCCACTCAAGTATAATTGGTGATTGCTCAGAAATAAACCTGTGATGGACTAGGAAAGCGGGAAAGTGGTTGGGTTCGTGACCCATGATCAGAGGGTCAGGGGTTCGAATCCAGCTGCTGATCAAATGTGGTGCCCATGGGCTGACATCATGCTGATATTTTTTTCAATCTTTTCGGCCTGGAAAGAATATCACTTACATTTTTTGTGTTAAAGGAGTGTTGGAGAGTGGTTAGGGTTTGTGACCCATGATCAGAGGGTCAGGGGTTCGAATCCAGCAGCTGGTTAAATGTGGTGTTCATGGGCAAGCCACGTTACTCCCACATTTCTCTCTCTCTACTCAGGAGTATAATTTGTGTTAGCTCAGGAATAACCTGTGATGAACTTGGGAAGCTAGTGTTGGAAATAGGTAAGGGTGTATGACCCATGATCAGAGGGTCAGGGGTTCAAATCCAGCTGCTGCTCAAATGTGCTGTCCATGGGCAAGCCACTTTACTCCATCGTGCCTTTCTCTATCAATTGGCTTTAGCTGGGGAATAACCAGTGATGGACTGGGGAATTGAGCTAGTGTGGGAAAGGGGTTAGGGTTTGTGACTCGTGATCAGAGGGTCAGGGGTTCAAATTCAAATGCTGGTCAAATGTGGTGTCCATGGGCAAGCCTCTTTACTCCCACATACCTCTCTACGTGGGAGTATAATTAGCTTTAGCTCAGGAATAACCTGTGATGGACTGGGAAAGCTAGTGTGGGAAAGTGGTCAGGGTATGTGACCCATTATCAGAGAGTCAGGGGTTCGAATCCAGCTGCTGGTCAAATGTGGTATCTTTGTGCAAGCTACTTTACTCCAACGTGCCTTTCTCAATTAATTGGCTTTAACTGGGGAATAACCAGTGATGAACTGGGGAACCGAGCTAGTGTGGGAAAGGGGTTAGGGTATGTGACCCATTATTAGAGGGTCAGGGGTTTGAATCCAGCTGCTAGTCAAATGTGGTGTCCATGGGCAAGCCGCTTTACTCCCACATGCCTCTCTCCAGTAATTGGCTTTAGCTGGGGAATAACCAGTAGTGGATTAGCTGTTGCTCTTGATAGTAGCTCTGTGAATTTTGTTCCTTCAGATAATTTTCCTCTCTTTTTTCTCTGTTAGATGTTGAATGCTGGCATAAGCCAACTCTCCAAGCCTGAAGATTTGAACCACGTACAGAATGCCCTCAAACCCAAGGCTAGCGATATGGAAGCGACAACCATGATAACAAGGTACAACAAGCTCTTACAAATACCAAATATAATCTGCAAATGAGAATTATTTTCCTGAGTGACGAACTTTCGATCATCACAAGAGGATCGAAATAATACTGCAACCGAACCGTCGAACCAAACTAACATTTGCCAAACATAGTGCTTCCGAACCAAATTGTTCAATTGAGATGTTAGAAAACACTATTTTTATAGCCGTGTTTTTTTAATTGGGCAACAAAATAACCAAAACTTGCACCATGCAGGTATGTACGCAATTCAACTCTCATTTCAAATTTTGCACTTTGTGCGAAAAAAATCACTAATTTTTTGTTTATTCTGGCACGGGACTGGGTCCTACAAAAAGCTACTATTAAAAAGAGGTTTATTATGCATTGCATGAAACCAGTATACTCCCGTAGGAACTCGTTTTGACTTTCAAATTTGCTGCTAAACCCAAACCAAACCAATGTTTGGATAACATTTCCGAACCAAACCGAACAGAACCTCAATCGACCTGAGGGCTCACTTTCAGCACTTAAGTCAAAATGTATAAATGAACATTTTGGAACTGGGTGGGCTTTCAACGGAAAACTTGCTTTGGCATTGAGAAAAACTAAGATGAATTTTCCCTTTTTTCAAAAATCATGATTTCTACTGAACTGAAAGTTCAACAGATTAGTTTTTTAAATAACCTGCTTCAGTTTTTTGTGTGTTCTTGTTCCTTGAATCAACAGAATTTTCATATTTTTGGGGCAAATTTGTGTCCATTACCATTGTCAACTCTCCCGTAGACAAAATTATCACCGATTGTAATTTTCTTTTGTCTAGGTTGATTGAGGCAAGTCTAGGTTCCAAATCCACCCAGATCAACTTCTTCATCCACAACTTGGCTCACCATAGCTTCTCAGGAGCCAGCAGCCTGGAACTCTCCTTTGCGCCCAAGAGATACACGTAAGCAGTGTGCGGTAGACACTGCCAAAGGCTAGGGCCATTTTGCAAATCTTGGCTACATCCCCAGCTGTGGCTACATCTCAGTGTTTAAACATCATGTTGGAACATTACCTATTTGGAAAAACATTCCCAACTTTGATTTAGTGTGTCCGGCTAGAAGGACTCACATGGGGGCCCGAAATAATAATACTGACCCCTGTAGTCAAACTGGAATGAAACCAAGGTTTGAAAACCTCATGGATAAAGCAGTGATCCTCTGTTCACCTTGTAATAAGTTTCTCACATGAAATCCATCTTTGAGGCCCTAATCTTAACCAGTTAGCGTCGGTGGACGTGATAACACGCACTGGCTGTTTTTATACACAGGCACAGCTGACGGGTTAAGACGTCAAGATTGCCTATTGTTGTACAATGTACGCTCTAGTGCACACCCCAGAGTGTTGAAACATATGAGGTTTTGGCAAGAAGTATCGTACAAATACTGTTTAAATGACTCTTGCGAATCAGTATTTGTGGCGTTTGGCTGTATATCAGAAGTTGGCTGGAAAATTTTGCCTTTTTCGAAAATCAACATTTTTGGCAAAAATAATCCCGGCGCAAAGTGGTTAAGGAACAGAATCTACACATTACAACACTGGTGCCTTTTGTTTTTGTGTCCCCTACTTTATGAAAATGTTCGCGTCAGGATTTTTTTCAAGGCACTCAACTGCCATGGAAACATTCTTGCTGTGCACTACTGTACTAGAGATCTGACACCACTCCATCAACATGAATTATATCTACATGTAGAGATAATCAAGCATATTCATCTATGTAATTGTTTTTCTCTTTGCGTAGGATGGCCATGGATGGTAAAATAACCACTGCTTCAATGTTTGGCATTCAGAAGAGATATGAAGATGGCAAATACTATGTAAGTATAGCAATCAGTACCATCGGTGGTCAAGACATCTGCACAAGCTAAGCAGGTGGTCTCGGGCTCGAGTCCTACATGACAAAAACTTTGGAAGTTTGTCTTGAACAACACTTAGTATGTACAGTACTTAATATGTTGGTGAAGGGCAAAACCCGATATGAAATTGACATCTCCCCAATGCCCATTCCATCGTACGCCACAAAAAACTTTATACATGTACGACGCCTGAATAAATCCCCATGATCTGATTGGTGGGTTTCACATTCGTGAAATGGAAAGAATAACTTCATTTGGTGACAAATGGAATGTTCCATTCCACTTGACTTTGCCTCGTGGAATGGAACATTCCATTTGTCACCTCATGAAATTATTCTTACCATTGCACTCACGAACGTTCATTGTTTGTATAATAAGTACTCTGAGGCTGTTTTAAAAGGCTGGTCTAAAAACGCATAAAGCAAAAGCCAGGAACGAAAGTCAATTTGCAAATACCCTTGAGCTAACAATTTTTCCCCCATGAACAAAGTCATTGATAAATTGGGGAACCGCCAACATAGGGCTGGATAGCTCAGTTGGTAGAGCACCGGAACGGCAATCCGGAGGTCGCAGGTTCAAACCGCACTCCAGTCAATTTGTTCATTCAATGTTAAAATGTTCTCCCCTTGTCGCAGGTGTATATCGTCAGCGTTCTGCGCGAGGGCTCCACCGTCCCTTCCTTCATATTCCGTCGCTACAGCGAGTTCAGTGAGTTTGCCCAGAAACTCGCCGTCATCCAACCGCAGGCGCGCATCTTCAATCTGCGCTCCGGACCCCTGGTCGGCCGGACGCACGTCAAACAGGTCGCCGAGAAACGACGCAATGAGCTGGACCTGTTCCTGAGACATCTGTTTGTGCTCTCGCCGGAAGTCTCACAGGTAAGAAAAAAGAACCGGGTAGCCGAGTACCCAACCGTTAATGTCAGGAACTGGTTCCAGATTATGGGATCGGGTACCCATAAGCAACTTAACAAATTACTTAGTTACGGTACTTTTCAGACAATGAAAAAGAAAGGTTTTGAAGTCATTTGTTAGGAATTTTTGAAATTAAGAATTAGACCATATGGGAAAACAAACAGTTATGCTCGCGAAAGCCACAGTACACATTGTAAAGCTATAAAGCTCACTGTACACACTGTATCTTGCTGTATGGATGTGCCGATGCAGTAGTACTATGGTGCGGACCTTTGTACTTTGCACCGTAAATCTATAAAGCTCACTGTACACACTTGTATCTTGCTGTATTGATGTGGCCATGCGGTAGTATTATCGAGCGGGCATTTATAAACAATCTCAACAGCAACTTCCAAGATTTGAATTTTGGCATGTTTGGCATTGGGTTTCTTTATTGTGTATTTTTTTTTCATTTGGGCACTCTATTCCTGTACTATCGGTACATGCAAACCCTTGGAATACTATCACCATAGATGCTGTGCATACACCATAGTTTCGGGCACGCAAATTTACCTCGGATCCGCTGATTTCCTCATTTTTGACTTCTCATGAATGCCATTACAAATTGAAAAACACTGTACAGAGTCTCATGTGGTTAGGAGTTTTCTCGTTTTTTCTAACTTCCCAGTTGCATGACTGTAGGTTATAATTGTGGTCAGACGTTGCAAATTTACTGACCGTTTACCACATTTGTCAGAGCAACTTTTGTACTGCAAGGTGTATTTTTTACTGTACGTGCTTTGTAAATTTCGTCGAAGTGACGGGTCGTCTATGGACTCTTTGTACACACGTTACTTTTTGGTGCGACCGACGATTGATTTCGCAACTCAGTTGATTATTTTTTCTAATTTAATCCAATAATAAATACCCTTCAACAATAGAACGATCCATATCAGCCATGCCCCGTGATGACAAATCCCAGCCGTGATTAATATCTGATTAATATGTGCATGCATGTGGTTTGAACATGCAATGTTCATTGGAGAGGCAAACATCCATGCAATAAATTTTTCTTAGGGACAAATTTTGTGCAACTTTCTACTCCTCTTAAAATGTTTGAGAACTATTTGACATCCCTTTTTGGTAAATTTTATTGAAAAGTGCACTTCCTTAAACATTTAAAAATGTTCCATGCTATTCCGAACAACCTTGGCACAACCTTGGTTTTGATATCCCGATGTGGGGACTTTGCCAAGTGTCAATGTAGAAGTAGATGTGGAAACTGAGGGCGGTGTTGCTATGATATCATTTCAGGAAGACACTGTTCAGTTTAGGGGTTTTCTGTTGATGAACTCAAATCTGCCCATTGAAAACATTTGTGAAAAAGAATTGCTCATTGGCTTACTGCCATGACAAAACAACAAATCACCCAAGAAAAGAAAATCTATGACAGCAAAATATCCAAAATTCCAGCCACTTTCTGTGCTGAAAATAGCTGTAACATTGAGGTTTCTGCCTGGAATGACATCACAGTTTTGCTCATAATAATGGACATTTGCATTAGCATAAAAACCAAAAGTCACCACAATATTCTTAAAAATGGCCAAATGAAAATTGAAAATGAGGTTAACATGGTTAAATGGGACACAAAGGTTCATTTTCAAAGACTGCATTAAAACAATTACATTGCATGGGCCTTTTAATGAATCAGTCGATTACAAAGAGAATGGTTATCTAGTATGCATGTCTTGTCACTGTGAGTCCGATAATAAAAAAAAAATAGGTGGTATTTGTGGTTTAACAGAAGTAGGCTTTAAATATTATTTTTTCTTTCCTATTGTTCGTGCAGTGTGATCTTGTGTACACGTTCTTCCACCCTTCACTGAGAGACGAAAAGGATGCCCACCTTGCGCACAAAAGCGTCAAATTAAAGAGTAAGTAATCAAAAGTAATTCATAATTTTGTGTTTTTAAAAGTTGAACGAAGAAATTGACTGCAGCTGGGTTTGAACCTGCGGCCTCAGGATTGCCGTTCCGGTGCTCTACCAACTGAGCTATCCAGCCTCACGTTGGCGGTTCCCCATTTTCCCCGTGTCTTTAGACTTTTACAAAATGGGGAGCAGCCATCATAGGGCTGGATAGCTCAGTTGGTAGAGCACAGGAATGGCAATCCGGAGGTCGCAGGTTCAAACCCACTTCAGTCCATTTCTTTATTCAACTTTTTGAAAGTTATTGTAATGCACCTTGTCAGTTTCCCTGTGTGGTTTATTTGATCTATTCTGTATCTCAATTCCTTTGCTTTTTGGAGTTCTTCAACCCCACTTTTACAATTAATTTTTTTTAAAAAATGCCACTTACCCCAGATTTTTTTGGTGTTATTTTTGGATATAATCTTTTTGAAATTAATGTGGTGGTGGAACTTTTAAACATGTTGCTAATTTAAAGAATGTATTTTTTTAATTTTTACTATGTTTCTGAAAGAGTTGTCTTATTCTGGGAGAATGAGACAGAACTGGGCAGAGGTCAGGATTTGGGGGTATGATTAAAAGAGAATAAATGCTCCTTACAATACTGTTTGTTGCACTTCAATCGGACATTCTGTTGACAGGTTATGGCTGTTTAAAGTTCGCATTTATCGTCATGTTAAAAAGTAAATACTGAGAAAATGATCTTACAGTTCCGAGTTGTGTAGTTTTGTATGTACATGTACATGTAAATGAAAGATACCAACTGTGTTTTCTTAAAAACACTTTTTTCCACGATATTTCACACAATTTCTTTAGAATGTGTGTAGTAGATATATCACGGATTACAAATATCAGTAAATCTGAAAATTGGCTTGAAGTGCTATATCACAACATTATTACAGACTATGTCAACGTATACAAGATATGGGCTCCGTGCGGCAACAAAAGAGGGCGCCCTTTTACCTAGCAACGACGTCCCATGGGCGGACGGGACACAGACATTTTGCTGGTTGACGCGCACGCACTGTTCCTTGTGTGTGACACACGTACACCAGGGGATTTGTACTATACTATGTGCATGTACTGTGAGGTACATGCAGTGGCCGCGGTCCGCGGCAAAATAATTGCAGTCAGGCAAGATGGCGTCGTTCGGTCACCCCCAACTGTACTTTCTGTGCCTGTGAGGGGGTACTTATGAGCAGAGCGGATAGTGCAGGATTTTCTCCATTTGATTTTCTATGGTTTTTAAAAAATTTTTTTTAAAGATTTCCCTCCAAAGAAAAAATATGCATCTATTTTCCTAAAATGACCTATATTTTATTCATGCAAGTCCGAATATATTACTTTGAGTTGAATTTTTTTGAATGATTATTTTCCTTAATTTAAGAAAGTGTGTTACATTCTGGTTTTATGTAAACTATGTAAAAGCCCCCAAAACCCCCAAAACCCTTGATTTCTGGTTAGACGTTAGCCATAGAATGTGCATTCAGCAAATATGTGAAGTTCAAAATTCCAGTTTGTCGGAAAAAGGAGAATATCCTCATCAGTTGTAATGTCTGAGGTTCAAACATTTCATGTTAGTCATGCGAAGGCAATTTTGTATTCCGTGGAAGAAGTAATTGAGAATTGTACCTCGCATTTTCATGAGCAGACGTAATCCTCTGTTCCTATCCTATCCATGCCCGCTGTCGTTAATATATGCAGTCGACCGAACCACTGCCTGTCACAGACCACAGTCAACACATCCCGCAAATCCAACCTCCAATATTTGGCGGGTTGTTTTATTGACACACTGTGAGTGCGTTGGAGAGGTCACAGGCTTTCTTCCAAAGTTGAGATCATTTTGTTCGGGACGGGAATGGGAGCAGATGGGATTAAGCCAAAGGGCAGAGGGGTCATCGATATCTTTTTCATTTCAAGATTGGTTTTTGGACCTAAGAACGGCACGCATTCCGTTGCTGTGAATTATAGTCTTGACAGGATCAGATGAAATTTGTCAGGAGATTGCTACGGTATCGATAAATTTTGTGGCTTGTGCAAGTGTTAGCTGTAATTTTGTTCAAATGTTGGTCCATAATGTCCCTTGTATCATGCAGGACCTTCCATTTGGTGGATGTGTGTGTGTGTGGGGGGGAGTTTTGCCTGCCCATTTGTTTGTGTGACCTCTTGTGACCTCTTTGTGACCTTTAACCTTTTTTTCATTGCTAATAACCTGTTTGCTGTTCACAGATACGCCTTTGTTTCCAACTGAGTCGGGTGAGATAAGACACCAACCGAAAAAAAATCCATCATTTCAGCCATAAATCCTTCACTTTCCATACTTATTATCAACCTGCTTGCTGCCATTTTTTTCAACTAAGATTAGATTTTCTGGGTTGTGCTACATAAAAGCAGGGTTCCCTGCCACTCTGAAAATCAGGAAAAACCTTGAAAAGGAGTTTCCATTTTTCCAGTCAGGGAAAACTTGGGGAGTTTTGGGGGAAAAATACACAAAATCAGGGAAAACTCTGGGAATTTAACAGTGATCTGAAGGTGTTTGCCAGCATGCTGTATATGTGCATTGCAACTTGTGCCACGTGTCCAAGTTGTAACCATCAACTGACTGGCTACAGTGGCCATTTAGTGTTTATGCAGTGTGAATATGTATGCTTTGCTGCAACTACAGTATCTCTTGAATTCGCAGCAACCTCGTTAAAATGAAACTATTTCTCATGGAATTTTTGAAAAACTTAACATTATTGTACTTTTTTCCAAAACATCATTTTGTTAAGTTTTTGGCGAATTTAGTCTTTCAAGAATGGTGGAGCTAATGGCAAAAAAAAAAAATTGAAAGTCTTGTGCCCATTTTACATGTTTTACGTCCCGAAAAATGGTCTTCAAACCTTTTGTTGCTTTACTAATTTGCAACTCAGATCTCAAAACTTTAAAATCACATTAACAATTGAGAATAGTTTAAAGTCAGCATACCATTGACATACAGATTGTTTGTCACTAAACCATTTATATTATGTAAGTCTTAATCCCTGCAACCACAGTATAATAATAATAATTAATCCATATTATTAATCTGGCTTTAAAAAGACTTACCCCAATTCAAACTACTTCATACATTCAGTAAAAGTAATCAGTATTCTAACCAGTCAGTGTCACTGCCATTGATACAAGGTGAGTCAAAAAAAGCGGTACCCAATTTCCAAAAAATATATTTCATATTTTAAAATACGTAGCACCAAAAATATTAATTTTACTAGATGAAATATTTTTTTTAAATTGATCAATCCGTTTAAAGAACATCACTATTTTAAACGCAATGACCCTAAAACCTGTTTCATCCAAAAAAAAGGCAATTTATTGTGTGTTCTGATTGTTGGGTACAACAAAGAAAATGACACAGAATACCTTTTTCAACAACTGTCAACATCTGTAGTACACAATATCTTTATTAACAACCCTGCCTAGGCAAACAATATGATTTATAAAATCCACTTTTTTTAAAAGACGGGCCTTTAAAAGGACTTCGTTGAATATCTTTACAGCACTTTTAAACTGAGGTTTTGTCACTGTTGATGTTTGAGGACAATTGTGACGACGATTCTTGAAATGGCATTTTGGATGAAATATATTGTTTTGGGATTGGGTTCTGCTTTTTTAGACTCACCCTGTAGTAATAAACCCAACACATTATTAACCCACAACAAATTTGATACCAAATCACTTAGCTAAATGGTTTGAGTTGACAGGCTGCTGCAAACTGCTTTACCAAACTGGTCATAACAGCAAGAAGTTGGTGTGGACAACCATTTCATCTGTCTTCGAAGTTTGTTTGCTTTTGTGCCTAATGCTTATGGTCTTCGTGAACTATACGGAGGCTGAGTTTGCTGACAGTCGTGTGATAATTGCCCTGAAATTGGGCCCAGGACTAGGGCTGTGCATCTTTGAATAATTTAATAATTGATTATTCCGATTTGGATTTGCTCGAGTATTCGAGTATTTGATTTTGTAAAGGCACTGATCAAGTTAAACATGCATCAGCCTAAACGTACCCGCCATTTGGGATTGTGTGCGGCCACGCTTGTTGAAAATTGACAAAGAGCTTATAAAGAACAGGTTGCAGAATGGCTGACCTTTGACTGAATTTACAAAATGTAAAGCAGAGATTTGAACTAATATTCCTCATGTAAACCCTCAAATCAACACAAGTGTGGCATATGATAAACAATAAAACCATGTGTTTTATACAACTAAAAGAACATGATTGGTGTTTTTCACCATCTCGAGATCGCTAACATTTATGAATATAAAAGTGATGGACAGGACCCCCGAACTCAAGTGATCCACCAACCCCGGCTTCCAAAGTAGCTGGATTACAGGCGCAGGCCACAACGCCCAGCCTGATTTAGGAATGTAAAACGAAAAATGTCTATTTGGATATTAGGTTGATAAAAGAATATTTGGTATATTGAGCACAGCCCTATTGCAGATATACATGTTGTGTGCACCCTTTGAAGCAACTCACATTATTAATTAAGACTTAAGAGACACGGTGCTGAGAAAAAGACAGAAGTGTTTACCCCTGATAGTTTTTTTGCCATGAAATTTACTGGTGTTAAAATTCAAAATGTGTTCAACCATTGTTAATCTTCCATCACAACTCGAAAGTGATCCGTGTTGGCTGTTTCATAGGTTTGCAGCATTATTTAATGTTGCTAGCATCATGACTTTGGTCGTGGTCCCCGGCTACACGGCATATACGGGTTAATGGCTTCTGACTAGCGCCCCTTGAACAAAGACATTGACAAACTGAACTGCCAGGGGCAGCGGAACCAGGGGGGCTGGGGGGGCATTTGCCCCCCCCCCCCCCAGATTTCCCCAAGTGCCCCTTTTGCGACCATAAATGTGCCCCCTCGTCCATAAAAGTGCCCCCTCGAGATTAAACAATGCCCTTAAAGTATCTTACTATTTCTTAGAAGTAACCATTTCCCAATATAATGGTATAGATAGTTTTGATATAAAATGAGGAATATGAAAACCAAGCCCCCAAACCCATACAGTATGCCCTGAAAATGGGCACATAATGCATAGTTAGCGCCCCCTATGTTGGAAGGTCGTCCCGCCCCCCCCCCCCCCCCCCCCCCCCCCCCCCCCCCACACACACACACACACACACACACTATTTGATTTTAGGGAGGCCAAGTGTCTGGTGAAAAGTACGTGTTGACCTTTCAGCACGGATGTGCTCCCCCCCAAAAAAAATGCTGAGCAAGTGCCCCTTTTTGGTGATGCCCCCCCCCCCCCCAGTTTCAAACCCGTTCCGCCGCCACTGCATGGAGGGCTGGATAGCTCAGTTGGTAGAGCACCAGAGCGTTTGGCAATCCGGATGTCCCAGGTTCAAACCCCGCTCCAGTCAATGTCTTTGTTCAACTTGAAAATAAAACTTGAAGTGACATCACATTCGTGTTTATATTTTCTTCCATGCCGAGTGTGAACCAGCCTATAGTCACAATGTGTATCTGCAAACATCATCCAAACTTTCCAGTTTACTTCTGTCCAGTTGCAAACCTTAACATTAACCCTAACTCCCAAGCTTGATTTAATACCAGGAACCATACCAAACCTGGCAAATTCCAACACCATATGGGAAACTGCACACACATATTTCTGACTTTGATTCTGAAGGTGTACCAACCCAATGTAAAAGACTGTCAGTTTAGGGGTACTGTATCCATCCTGACAGATTCCAACAAAACATGCTGTTGGGGTTTGATGGTTGAGTTCTGTTAGGGTTAATCGATATGTCCATTCTACAGATGATCCTATTACGACGGACACAACCGAGCCCTCGGTCGCACCTGGCGAGGTTTCGGGCCGGGTCCAGCTAGCCATCCACTACCGCAACAACGCCTTGATGATCATGGTCCGGCACGCCAAAGACCTTCTGGCTCTGGACAAAAGTGAACCGGACCCTTACATCAAGACCTACCTTCTGCCGGACCCTCACAAACAGACCAAGAGGAAGACTAGGGTGCAGAAGAAGACGTCCAATCCCACGTACAATGAGATGGTGAGCCGTCAAGCCCAATGTTGACAGTTTCCCAATCTGTCGATGCTTTGAATGCGAAGCCAAATCAAACGTTAAATTTAACATGCACAATCAACAAAAAAAGATATATAGACTTCAAATAAACTTAAGCTTTAGGTTTTCTGATATATTCACCAGGCTTTGTTAACTTTAAATTGCTTTAAGAATCCAGCTTCCATCCATGATTTAAATTATTATTATTATTATTATTATTATTATTAATCATTTCTGGTAATGAAACCAAGGATTCCTCAAAAGCGCCCTAGGCACTGTAGCTCGCAAGCCTGAAGAAACCTGTGGAGAGAAGACAATGAGAAGAAATTACAGTTTTAGAGGTGGGAGGAAAAGCCCAGAAGAATATTCTGGGGAAAACCCACGGAATCAGGCAGGGACTGAAAACCCAATCCACATATTGGCCCAGGCGAGATTCGAACCCGGGTCATAGCGGTGGAAGGCGAGGAAAGTACCGCTACGCCAACCTGACTCCCCTCGAGTCATGGTATTCAAATGATTCTTTAGCTTGTAGTTTGTAAATTGTATTCTGAAGTTCTGGGTTATTGTACTTTCTCAGCTTGTGTACTACCTACCCTGGAACGAGGTCCTGAAACGCACCGTCCGCCTCACTGCCTGGGACTCGGACTATTTGAAAGAGAACAACTTCCTTGGAGGGATTGACATCCCAATATCTAGCCTGGACTTGAGTGTGGAGAAAGTATCCTGGTACAAGCTAGGTAACCTGCCCAAGGAGACCTAAAAACCAAGCTAGGGAGGTTTGTAAAACCTAGATTCATTCGAGCTTTGACTCACCTCCTGGGACTTGGACTATCTCACAGAAAACAACTTCCTTGGAGGGATTGACATCCCCATATCTAGCCTGGACTCGAGTGTGGAGAAATAGTCTGATACAAGCTTGGTACAAAGCTTGACTAGTGAGACCTAAAAAACAGGCTATGGAGGTTTGTGAAACCTGAGTTTCATTCCAGCTTTGGCTTCATTCAATGTTTAACTTTCCTACAAGCTAGAAGACGAGGCCAGGGAGACGCAAGAACCAAACCTTTGGTTCATGGTAGCTTTGGCCTCTGGTGATGTGAAGCCCTGTTTTTGTTTTTTTGGGGTTTTTTTTTTTTTGGGGGGGGAGGGGGGAGGGGGAAGGACCTTGGCTCATTGTGGATCCATGTGTCACATTAGCTAGATCTGATGTTTTCATTATATGGGCAAATGTAGATTATTTGCATTTTAATTGGATATAAAGGACTACTGAACGATTGTGGAACCAGAGTTGAAGCCAAAGCTTGGGACGAAATCAAGGTTTAGTAAATGACCAAGGTAAGTTAGCACATTGCTTACCCTGAACCAAAGACTAGGTCCAATTCCAAGAAGAAAAGAAAAATGAGTCATAATTGATTCCAAGTTTGGAATTTTGGAACGAGCAGGCTACTGTACCAGAGATGTAGTCTAGTCCATCACAAGTCCCTGTGAGTCCTGCTGTCACAATTCAACTCACAAGCTGTTCAAAGTAGCTTTGACAAAGGCTTTGCTTTGTTAATGTTCATCCACTCTTTGAGATTGGACTTGTGATTTGCTTGAGATTTACTTCTGATTTACTTGTGATTTACTTGTGATGAACGTGTGATGGACGTGTGATGGACTTGTGAGGACTTGTGAGGACTTGTGATGGACTTGTGATGGACTTGTGATGGACTTGTGAGGACTTGTGATGGACTTGTGATGGACTTGTGAGGACTTGTGATGGACTTGTGATGGACTTGTGATGGACTTGTGGCGGACTCAACCACATTTTTGCTCTGTACATAACCGACACGGTTCAATCATGTGCAATTGGTATAATTGTTACATAGTAAGGAAATTAATTGTGAAATACAGGGTGAAAAATACCCCAAAACCCAAATGTCAGGACTTTTGCTTTTGTGCAGTTCTGCATGGATATGAAAGCCCAATTCATAAGCTTTCTTTTAGTACAAGAATCATTCAAATCACTTCTGTACTTTTCAAGTTACGGAATTTTAAACACAACTACCTTTTTAAAGTTCTGTCCACAGATCACAAAAAAGTGTGCGTTCTTTCAGCAAAACGAAAACAATTCACACACATCCCTATGTGATTTGATTTCGTTTTTTTTTTACTCACCCTGTATTTTGGGAGTTGCACTTTAATTTTTCAACAAGAGTCCATTTTGTTTTAAATTTTACATTTTTTAAATCAATATAAACATGTTAATGGTGTGTCAAGTGCATTTAAATGCACTGTGTACTGTTTTGAAGAACTGCTGATTGAAAAGTGTGTCAAATTTTATCGCAAGAATGATTGATTACTCAATAATTTGAAGAAAATAAATGACTTAAATTGCAAGAAAAGCAAAATTCAACTTTTATTGCTGAATGAATTTTTTTGCCCTATGAAATATCAACTTGTTTGGGTTGGTATTTGATAATTTGAAGCATAGGAGGAGTTTGGATGTACCAAAAATATCTGGTACAAATTAGTAAAAATAATATAGGTGATTCTAAGAAGATCGGGTAACTTTCCAAAAAGTTTGATTTTGAGAAAGAAAGCTTATTTGGGGGCAATAGTTAATTTATTTGGTAAATTACCATTATTAGTGGCAAGTGGTGGAAAGATGATGGTCATTTTGACTTGAAACCGACCAGTTTCTGGCTATTTATTTCTGAACCACATTTTATAAATGTATTGCTTTTTATGTATAATTATTGTCTAACATTTTCTGACCAGCACCACAAAATACAACTTTTCAAATGATGTGTATTTATCTCCGTTTGGGGGGTTTGTTTTCCCCCCCCCCTGTTTTATTTTAGTTTTTTTTGTAGATTTGGCTGCATATGTACAATAATTTCACCAAAAAACATGAATAATATTTTCCAACAATTGTTACATATGCAAGTAAATAGCTTCAATCAATTTCGAATTAACATCAGCTTTACAACTTTCTGTGTAAACTTGTATATGTATGGATATAACATAACATAAACACTTAAAATATTTTTTTTGATATTTCGATATTATATGTAAATTGTATTGATCAAATTTACTCATCGATCAATGGTCAAGAATTTTTGAAATGATAAATCGAATAATTTGTGCTCTGTCGGCGATATTCCAAAATACATTTATAAGAAAAATAATCTTGCATAAAATATGTTTTACTATAGAGTATCAATGTATCTAGTAATGCGTTGTTTAGGAATTGTACTTGTTGGTAATGTATGGTGTCTTTGTGAAGTGCTCCCACAAAACATGGACAAGGTTAACAAATCGTTTTTAGGTTTAGGCGTTTTCAAATTCCTGTGGTTTTCAGCTTCAAAATAATATATGATTGTCGGAGCTACTGTGACCCCATCACCCCTGGTAGAAGGATTAAGTGATAAAAAGCCTGACAACCAAATTATGAGATAAACATGTCGAGACCATTGTTTTAGTGAAGTTCTGCACTTTCAAAATCTAGGATATGAAAGCCCAATTCATAAGCTTTCTTTTAGTACAAGAATCAATCAAATCACTCATGTACTTTTCAAGTTACGGAGTTTTAAACACAACCACCGTTTTAAAGTTCTGTCAACGGATCACAAAAAGTGTGCGTTCTTTCAGCAAAACGAAAACAATTCATACCACATCCTTATGTGATTTGTTTTCGTTTTGCTGAAAGAACACTGAACTTTTTGTGATCCGTGGACAGAACCTTAAAACGGCGGTTGTGTTTAAAACTCCCTAACTCAAAAAGTACATGAGTGATTCGAATGATTCTTGTACTAAAAGAAAGCTTATGAATTGGGCTTTCATATGCGAGATTTTGAAAGTGCTACATGCAGAACTTCACTAAAACAATGGTCCCGACATTTGGGTTTCGTTTTTTTTTTACTCGCCGTGTATATTGAGATGCTTCTTGTATACGTTTCTCTAAACCTGTTTGTCACTAACTCGGCCAAAAAAAGAACGAGACATTTCTGGTTGATGGATAATATTCATCTTTTGGGAGGTTGTAAAAGTCACGGTTGTTAATTTCAGAAAATGGTCACTTCCACCACACAATCACTTCACAATGCCCTATGTGCGAAAACAACTTGTGCAACTTCGTCCGGGTTACGTTTCGTGAGAGCGGATCTCATATAATGTGTCTTGAATTACATTGTAGCATCTCAGTTTTGTTTGAGCCACACATATATAGGGCTTTTACAAAACTCGGCTCTGTCTGCAGCTTCGTCTTCGTCTCCAACCCAAGATAGGTAAGATCCCAGTTACGGATCTACCGGGGGGGGGGGGGGGAGGTTCTTAACCCCCTTTTGGGCCGCAAAAAATAACAACTCGTGTAGAAAACACAGTAAATGCCGTGTACCCCACACTTTTGGCAGCTAAACCAATCTCTTGATCCAAACTGGATCCACCCCTGATCCACAGAAATTATAATAAATGTATACCTGTAATTTTTTTGAGCAATAGAGATATTTTATTTTAATGTCGACACTATACTCGACATTTTGGGTTAGAGAGGTGAAACGATTCTTGATTGTAGTGAACTTTAACTTTCATTTCTTTCCGTTGCTGAAAATGTCTTTTTGGCGTTGATTTTATATTTTAATCACTGAACATGGTTTGTACATATGAAAAGAGATTAATTAATAAAATGTATCTACTATACCAGAGAATCTACATGTATGTATTTGTTTTGATATCGAGTTGCTACTTTTTCAATTTAAATTCAGTTCAAAACAGAATGATGATTAAAAGAGAATACATGTTGTATAGGCCTGTTTGCGGCGGCGTAGCCAGGGTTCTCATCCTAAGCGGAGGGGGGGGGGGGGGGGGCGTGTGGGGTGGGGGGGGGGGCTTGAGGTTACTATGGAGGGGCGCCCAAAAATTTCATCCGTGCTCGAATGTAGACAGGTTTTTTTTCACCGGACACCCGCCCTCCGTAAAATCAAATAGGGGGGGGGGGGGGGGGACACCATCTTCCCATGGGGACGCTGTTCAAAACGTAAATCATGATTAATGTTAGACAATAATAGGAAACAAGTTTTGTTAAAAAATACGCACAAAATCGCGCAAAATGGGGTCTTTGTGTTTTTTTCCTGCTAATCATGGTAACTCTTACGGCTGTGGTTTTCTCCGGATGCCAAATTTCCAGGGGGGGGGGGGGACAACTTTTTATGGGGGGCCTGCGGCCCCCCTCTACCCCCGTAGCTACGCCGCTGCCTAGTTGATATGTAGTAGGCCTATATTTAAAACGAAAAATTCAATGCAAAAGCCCGCAATAGTATTAATTTCTTTTACTTCTTCATCGGATTTTGACCAATCCTGAATTGATTTTCCAATTTGAAGGGCCCATGGGAAAGAATGGTGCATTGGGGGGGGGGGGGGGTCGTCACTTTCTTCGTCATTATATTATCTCAATGAAGGTCAGTCATTGCCAATATTTTGAGAAGACATAATCTAAAAATGAGAAACATTTCCTATGATGTTAGAAAACACATTGAAAATGCACTCTACTCTCCATGCAGTGACTTTCTACACAACCAAATTAGAAGTTGCATCTGGATAATACATTATTTCCGGCCCATGGATGGAATGTGATTATTTTAATGCAATAATTGAAAATGCATCCGTGTGCCAATTAACCTACTTATTTTCAATTTTTGTTTTGCCATTTTCAAGGGTATTTGGGTGCCTTTTTGATTTCACGGTATGATGCGAGTTTCAAAATTCATGAGCAAAGTGTGATGTCATTTCAGGCAAAAACCTCAATGTTGCAGCTATTGTGCAGCAACAAAAGTTGCCAGAATTGTGGATACTTTGCGGTGGTAAATTTTCTTTTGTTGAGTGATTCGTTGTCTTGAGTGATTCGTTCTCACAATTAATGTTTTCAGTGAGCACATCAATTGGTTTGGTTCACAATTAAACCCCTAAACTGAACAGTGTCTTCCTGAAATGACATCACAGCAACAGTGCAGCACCCTCAGTTGTCAAGAAAAACATGGAAACTGTTCAATGTTTAAAGAATTGCACTATTTTTTTGTAAAATGAACCACAAAAAGGACGTCTCAAAAGTTGTCAGAAATTTAAGCACAAAATGCCTTCCTAAGAAGCTTCATCTCATGGCCCTCTGATACTTATTGTTTTCACACCGTAGGGAGTCAGGGTTAATATGCAGAGCCAACAAAACAGAAACTAGCAAAAGGTGTCATCGTTATCCCATTTGACCAATGACAAATATTTGACAACAAACACGAGCTTTTGTTTCGTTTCTGCGTCCCTCGTTGATGAATGAGACACCACATGTGGACATGCGGCTTCAATTGTAATCGTTAATAGGCCTCGTAAGCTCTCATCGGCCCAAAATTGCCGGAAAAACACTTGTTTTTCTTCAATGAAAACTCATCCCAATGATCTAAGGCTAATAGGTAACAGAAGACGTAAAACCCTGCACGACAAATCAAACATTTAATTGCGTAGGGATTTCCCGATCCAGATCGGCCCTTCCAATGATCGCATTTCAGGCCTCCCAATGGACTATTTCACCTCATTCTTGTGGCAGACGGTTCCGAAATGGTACCGATACATCAAGTTTGCCTCAAGTGTTACAACTGCAGCTGTACATCAGTGCAACTTGAGCCTTGAGAAAACGCAAGAAGTCAACATTTTTTTAGAGCACTCTTCCCCGTGGTAAAAGCAGGTTAGTTTCATGCTCCGACGAAGTGTGATTTCCTTGTATTGAAAACTGCAACTAGTCTGTGTTCTCGTGATCTTACCACAGATGTTGCTCGCGACCATAAATTGGCGCAGCATCCTTGAAATTCGATAAGATTGGTTTTTCATTGTAGACCCATTAGGGGGCCTATACATCAATGATTTTTGCACCTGATTCATTCGATAATGACTTTTTATATATAATTGCCAGGTATAGGATGACATCCTCGTTCGTTATCGCGGCTGCAGGTGTGGCATATGGAAATGTGGTCTTCGTAAATGATGCCTCCCAAAGCGCATTTTGCATGTCAGAAATTTTAATTTCGAGATTTTGGAACAACATAATCAGAGGTAAAATGGTAAAAGTAACATTAAACGGCAAGTTATATAAATGTAAATTAGTATCTCACGCAGGGTGACAATTTGAGCAGATTTTCTGTTAGATATGCCTGATTTTTTTTTGGGGGGGGATGAAAATAGCTAAAAATCTATTGTAAAATAAATAATCTACACGATTTCTAGGAGAATTCTGTAAAATCGGTGATCCTAGCAGAAAAAAAATGTAGAAGTTGTTTGAACGAGTTATCATTATTTCAAACATAGCCTATATAGCCTTGAACAGCGGGGGCAGGCTAAGCGCTGAGGTTCCCTGACGTGTACTATACCCAGTATAGTACGATAAAGTATGGTAGCCAGGCTAGACACACGCGCCTATTTGTTCTGATTTTTTTAACCAGGCAATTTTATAATTGTGTTATATTTAAATTGATGTATGCGTGCTTTTTGGGTGTGGCACCTTGTGAAATAGATTTTCAAATTGAATTGATATTTTTCTAGTATAACATGAATTATGAGTTTCCAAATGACACATCGCACGAAAAATCGGCCCATGACAAGTAATCGATTAATTAATTTCAACTTTTGAATTATGAGCGGGACGCTCCTACTTCGTTCTGTATAAAGGCCTTTAAAATCAAGCAAGCTTTTTTTTTTTACAGGACATTATTTTCCTTTACATTTCGTTCGGAAAAGAAAGTCGAAATTTTGAAAAAGCACGTATATACCAACTTAAGTAGGACATTTTTATAACATGGGCGTGTGCGTATAAGTGATTACAATGTATTTCGTGTAATTTTAGGTGATTTAACAGATTTTGTATAAATTAGCAGAATTTCGAAATGCATCTAGCAGAATTTTGCGACTTTCATCTGGTCACCCTAAGCTTAAAGGGAACGAGACACTCAGCCTCATGTATAGTTAGGGGAGCACATTTGCGCATTAAATTAAATTAAATTGCTGAAATGACCAAACAAAGTGTACGAACGTGCACACGCTGCGTCTTTGTAAATACTAGTCCAGATTTCCTTTTTTTGACCAAAAATCGCGACTCAAAAGGAAACTTAAGATATGAAACGAAAGCAGCAAACAAAGCTATCATCCGGTTTCACTTCTCTGATAAAAAGCTTGGCGACTCAAATTGTGCCTTAAAATGCATATAGGATCATTTGCTTGTTACCGATGATAACACCACTCAAAATCAAAGCGGAATGTTCAAAACCTAACCTGTTGAAGTTTAAGGTCAGTGGATATTACACTTGTCGAGAAAACAGTGAAAAACCATCCATAACATTTTGATCACGAAACACGATTTTAAACACACTCCAAAAATCAGTAAAACAGACTAATCGTTGGAAATCATTTCTTGATTTTCTTCTCAATGACAGCTAGCCAGATGGCAGATGGAATGATCCACGGGTGGATTAGGACAAGTGTGATCTTTAGTCCAAGTAAGCTTTGTGGATACTAATTCGGCAGGTCACTTTTGGGATCAATGCAAAAGATCCTATATGCCTTCAAGTAAACCACACGAAACTGCATGAACTCAACCATGATATGCATTGGACACAAAATGGACACGGACAATTTTGGGTGATTGCCGGTGCTTTTATTAAACTAAGGGAACCCTTCTCGTGCGTATAAAAATGCTTGTTCATGCCAGCATAACGTACACATTTTGCTTTTGTTTCTAGGGTTTCTCACTTCTGGGATTAAAATCGAAGAAAAAAAGTTGCAGCGAGGTAGCGTGAAAGTTAGGCCGTCGTAAAATTTCTCTTAAAATAGATTGCAAGATGAAATTGTTTCTTTGATGATAGACTTCTTTTAAGCTGTACAAATAAGTGTGCAGACTTCTTTACTTGACATTTCCTCTAAATTTACAAAATAGGCCTAAGCGTTGCGACTCTAATAATCTACTACTGGATAAAAGAATACTTAGCCAAAGTCAAAAGCGCGACACAAATAATACTCAAACAAAAACATGCTCTTTTCCTTAAATTAAGCATAAAGGTTTAGTGCTTCAGTGCATAATCACTTCCCAAAGTAAAGGCTGTCGTGCTAAATGTGAACAAACAAATCTATGATTGCCAGTCTCAAACCATTTCCGGCGCTACAAAACAGCCACTCCCCCAACAAAAATAAATAAAGTGAGTGCAACTCCCGAATCCAAAATTAATATTATTAACTATTTCGAAATCCCTACTTTACCTATAGTAAACATTTGAAGATCCAGTGTCAGAATATAATGGATATGGGTAGAGGGGCTATATGATTACAGTTCAGTTGGTCAGTGAAATAATGTAACAGATACTTTCGGTTGTTTTAACCAGAAGTACTTTAATCGGCCCGTGTCTGAGTTTAACGGGATTTGCAAAGTGACATAATTGATAGAATCGGATGATGGTGGGACTTCATTAGACTTTTAGAAGTTCGTTTTGACCTTCAATATTTTCAATCATATTTCATCACGCGCGGGTTCTATAGTCAGTATTTACATTGGTTCCTTATTTCGACGGGTCCTTGAGTCTGCGCAGTTTGAAGAAGTAAAGGTCACTTTGAAGACAGCCTGGGTTGTGGAGGTCAAATGTCATCCGTGTCATCCGCGCTCGCCTCAGACTCTGTTGGGATCAAAAGAAAAATTATGGAGTTAGCACCAAGCACTGAGTATTTGTGTTTTGTTCGTTTCCAATACCGCCAATCAAAATCCAAAGAAGAACGTTAAAAACCTAGCCTAGCTGTTGAAGTTTCAGCTCCGTAAATACCCCTTATGAGAGAACAGTACAAAACCATGCACAGCCTTTTGATCACGAAATACGATTTCCTTATTTCCAAAACCGGTAAATTGATTGATCGTTGGAAATCACATACATTCCTCGATTTCTTCTACATGACAGCAAGCAAGATGGAATAAAATTCACAGGGTGTTCATCAATACGATCTTTCCCATTAAGTTTTTAGAGCACAATTCGGAAGGTTACTTTTTGAGAGATATGATCCTTACTGTAGGCTTCATCCAACCTGTGTCGAGGCAAGTGGCTAATAATCCACTAGCCTTTAGTCAAGTCCCACGCGCTTACCCGGACACGTGACGCACTCCGGATACTGACGCCTAAAAACACTAGCACGAGCGGCGAAGCCGCGAGGGCCTTAACCATCTCGCGGCGAACGATTATGATTTTCTTTACATTTTGTCTACCGATTTGGTAGACATGCGTAATGCATATTACCCGTTGTGAATTGACCAATGGAAATGCAGAATTACTATTGTAAATCAGCCGTCGTCTGGTGCTTTTGCTGGTAACCGCAAACCACTGTTAGATGATTGGTTTATATTGCTTGATTAATATTACGTGAATAAATGAATAAGTGATTAGTTCCACGAGAAAGTAAAGGCCCTCGCGGCTTCGCCGCTCGTGCTAGTCTTTTTACGAGCCAGCATCCGGGGTGCGTTACGTGTCCGGATGGTCCGGGTATAGGCGCGTTGGACTTGACTAAAGGCTAATAATCCACGTGCCCTAGTGCATTCTCTGAAAACCGCGGAATTCTGACTTGTTGATTACACTGCTAAAAATATTCTGCGCTAACCACACAAGTACGAAAGCCTCAGATAAAGGATGTGTAAGCTAGCGCGTAATAAGTCATATATTCCTTGCGGTTCAACCGTACAATTCCCTTACCGCAAGAATAGAAGATTGAATGTAATTAAAGTGGAGGTCCTTAGCTTATGACATAAGCATAGCTGTGAATTGGGCCCCGTTGTATCAATGGAAATCAATGGACGGACCTCCCAAGACAAAATACAAAGTTGCAAACTAAAAAGCAAAACTACGCCCGATGCTCCATGCGAACAAGACAGCAATTTCTTGTTAACATCTAGCCAGTTTACTCAAAATTGAACTCTTTAATTTCCCGTCAGGTTACACCTTCTCTCATAACGAAATACGGAGGACCTGATAAATTTGGACTCGTATTGTCGAACAGAATTGGAAGACCATGCATGATTTGTGAAAGCTTTTAAAGTGAGAAATATTTCTCTCCACATCTGACAGACCGCCTTCAGTGGCCCGTAAAACTAGTTTCTTATGCCGAAGCGGTTTTGAAAAAAAAAATCATCAATGGCACTTCTTCATAGTTTGATTCATTGCCAGCAGTGTATTACCATGTCTTGTGGTTATACTAGTGAAGTCTGTCGTACATTAACGGAATAGGCCCATGTTGTCTTTCGATTACTGAAATCCACGAATGACTACATTTCTAATTGAAAGCTGTAGAATGGTGGATCTTCGAATGTGGAACACGTTTCGACTTGGACCGTATAAAAAAAAACGAAGGACGGAATTATTGCTGGGCACAATTTCATGGCGCTGTTTATAACAGTTAGCAGACAAGTTGTGCTTACTAGAAAAAATGTGCTAACCTTAAGCATTATTTCACGGCGTGCATGTGCTAACCACGGTCGCACGTGCATGAAGATTTCTATTATACGTCACTAAGTTAAGTAAATTTTTCCTCTGAAGTAAGCGTGCTGTTGCTGTGCTTATGCTTACGGTCTGCATGAAATAGGCAAAGGCTCTGTTAGCAGAAAATCGTGTGCTTAGCAGCGCCATGAAATTGGACCTTGGTTTTGATGTTGAATTTGGAGGGCTGCATAAATTACGTTCCGCATAAAATAAACAACAACAACACCAACTCCGAATTTCACTGTGCAGGTCAAATCGTCATTCTACCTCTCCTAAAGAGTAGTGTCTGCATTATCGCATTATGCCCGGAATCGACGCGTAAGGTCACTGCGCATGCGTTTCGTACACTTTGCGCCTGGGGCACGCGTCGCACCGAATCTCTGTCGATAGCGATGCATTAAACTTTTCCTTTAAAACAAAATATAGCAGAATTAGGCCACAAACCCAGATATCGAACATGTATCTTTACTCCCAAGCAAGATAACATTTTTGGAAAGGTAATTTCATTCTGATATTTTCTTATCAATGTTTCAACCGGAATCCCGGTTTCCAGGACGAACTGCGGAAGTGCCCCATCAACGCTGATTATTCATTGCGCCAATTTTGGCACGGCCTATTAGTCCAATGCTGTCACCAAGAGTCCTCCCTTGATGCGAGTTAGTGTCGGCATCGCCTCAAAGTGCGCCTCGGTCCCGTGTTTACATAATGATTGCCCGGCAAACTAAACGGGTTCCACTCCAGAAACAGACACAGTACATTCAGAGGATGTGCTCCGATGCTAGATACATAGTCACAGAGGCCCGAGCGGAGGCGAGGACTCAAGAATGATTGCCCCAATTCCATGGCAAGAGCAGTGATAAATTTGTCACTTAGGGGCGTGCCACTTAAGATAAGTCTAATCAGAAATGGCTCGTATTCCGGGCAACATTTCGGCATGTTGGGCAGGAGGGGGGGGGATCACTTTTGGTATGCGCTTGTTGGTTGGTTAATTCTCACTGAAACAGTTCAGTTGCACTCGCTTTGATGCACCGATCTGTAAATTTAGTGCGAGGTTCCCGAAACACGTGAGAGAGTTAAGTTTTTTTTTTTATTACAGTGAGACATTTTGCTATTGAGGAAACTTAATTCAGTTGACCACACATTATCGCACAGCCTTCCTTGATTATTATTCAACGCGGGAAAATAGACTAAACTGAGCACGAAACGATTATACATTCACTAGTTGAGGCCCCTTTCATGGCGAAAGCATGGTGCTAGCTGTTGTTCGGGTAATCCGTCATGGGGCAGTTGCTTTGTACAATAACTGGCACAATGCTTCCACCATTGAGGGGGGCCCCTGCGAAAGTAGGGAGATATTAAACGTGTCCACGTATATACGTGTTCTTTAGTACCTCAACGACTATTTCGTGTTTAGTTTGTGCTCCCTAAGATTTTTTAACACTTAACACATAACGTAGCGGGAACCGAAACATTTAACAACCATTCATTTTTGACATTCAGCATAGACAGAGTGCGAACCCTAAAATTCAAGCTTCCCTTTACGGATCAAAATGGGACGGTTGAAAAATACAGCCCTGAAAATAATACATTGACGAAGGATGCACTTCTTTTGCAATTAATTTTCATCAATTGTCTGGGAAATGCCGACGCTTTCTCCCTTGTTATTTTCTTGGCAGGCATGGAGGACAAAATGATTGCACCAAATCAATAGGCATAGTGTGTACATCCTAGGCGCGCGAACAATATAATTCATCATGTCGCGCGGCTTCGAAACCAACGTTATATTCCTTTTCCTTCTGTAATGACAGATAATAGGTTGTAAATGGTGGAGCCGTGTGCACACACCCTATGCAGAGACCTTGTTTCGGTATACTCAATCACAATCAATGGCAAATAGACGACTTGCGCGCAAACAAAATGACGAACGCACCAAAATTATATGTATAATTTGTATAAGGAAAAAAAGTGAAACGCATGGCAAGACAAAAAGGTATATTGTCACTGTAATTGAGACAGATACGCGTAGGAATGAATGATACCCATTTCACGTTGGGTGAGCAGCCAGAAAATGTCACACTGTATGTGGTCGGTGTACAATAGGCCGACGATCTTCACGCTTGAAACTGTACTTTTGAGGAAGCCAGACCCCACCAAAATATATGTCACCTTCCCTTAATCTGAGGTAATATTAAAATGACACATTTTCATATAACAAATGAAAGGATAAATGTTCAGGCTTGTTAAAACTGACTTCACGTTTATGCATCCATCATGCCTTAAATGTGGTCTGGGTGAAATTGTGAAATTCCGCTTCTTTAAAGGGGCCAGACCAGTATTTGGCCTCAAATTGCCTACGCCGGCCAAATCACGATTTACATGCCCTCAAATTCTTCGGTATGAGAGCAATTTGTGGGCCGTGAACTTGAGGATTTGTACAAAAGAAGGGTTGAAGCCTTGCACAGGGCTGTGAGCATGTATTTCTCTGAAATTTGGCCCTAAAATCGCTCTATTTTGCAATGGAGCATAGGCGTCGTTTTTCAAAATGGCGATGGTCTTCATGACTACTTTTAGGGGTGATCATCTTCGGATGCAAATTTGTCAAGAAAGGCATTGGATTACCCCCCAAAAAAATTAACAGAAAGTAGAAGATGAAGAAATAAGCTTTAATTGTATGCGTGTCTTGAACATCTCTGAGAGTTGTGAGTATAGTTTTAATAATTTTGAGAAGTGCGCGTAATTCCCGCTAAGGTCTATGGCAATGTTTACTTGTCTGGACCCTTAAAGTTTTAAACAACTGACGTTTTTCAAAGCGCCCTCTTTTGTTTCAATGTCAAATGTCATTGGGTACCCTAAGACGCCTCTTTTGTTTCAGTGTCAAAGGTCATTGGTGCCATATGGCGACCTCTGCTTTTTCAATGTCAAATGTCATTGTTCACTATGACGCCCTCTGTTGTTTGGCGTATATGTGACCTTTGACCTACCTACTCCTAGGACTGTGCATCCAATTGGTCGAAGTACCTCGCCATTAGTCTCCTAACAATCTCGCTGTCCAGTCCGTCCTTTTGGTACAAATCGTTCTCGAAGTCATTTCTTTTTACTCTACGGGAAAAAAAATAGCAAGAAAATTATTATTAGGACTCCAACATTCTTGTTGATTTAAGGGCTCCTAGCTGGTTGGTCTTACCTGGAAATTAACTTTCATTAATTGCCGACCGACCCCCGGCAAGCTCGGTGGACGAATGGCAAGATGTCTGCACCAGTACAGGGTGGTGCAAAAAGCTTAAAAACCTATTTTTTACAGGAATTTTAACCTACTTACGTACCCCATTTTAACTTTTTTTTATAATGTAGTAATGTATAGCTCTTCAACCATACGTGGTGAAAAAAAAATCTTTGAAAAATCGCAAGAATAGTGTTATTATGCTAATTTGAATACGAGTCACCAAAATCACTGTTTTCCACGTGTCAGTCTAGTGTAGTTTTTTTGTCTTCAAATCAAGCTCCGGAGCTCAGTCAAGAGGATGGAATAAAGCCGTCCGTGGACAAACAGGTTTGGCACATGAGATTGAACCCTAACTCCCTAGGGAGTGTGCAAAATTGTATTAAAATTTGAGGATTCAGGACTGTTTTTTTTTAACTACCATATCTCAGAGACAAAATATGCATTTGCAATCATTTTTTCGTCACTTAAGTTTAGACCAAAAAAAAATAAGTTTCCGGTTTCTGGTATGCGCGCGCGTCGCCGTAGCCATGCGCGTCGGCAAAATGAAAAAGTTTTTTTTTTCAATGAAAGATGATGTCTCAAAACCGCCAAACTCACTGGTTTGACTGGAATACTGCTGCTGAACAATTTTAACGTGTTTTTAGATTGGGTTATGGTCGAGAATAAGCTTTATGTGGCCTCTCTGGACTCCCATATATTTGCACTAAGTTTAGTCGGGCACCATTTGCAGTCATCAGCACACATTTGAAGCAAAAAAATCAGGTGAAAAAAAAAGCCGCGTCGCCGCATCACTTTTTGGGCAAGCTCCATACCAGAAACCGGAGACTTTTTTTTTTAGCCTTAGAGATCAATTTTTTAATTCCATTGATTTGAATTTGTGAAATATGCCCAACAAGTATAATTGCTGTAAAAAGTGGGTTTCCTTCTTTTTGCACCATACACCCTGTAGTTTGTGATAAGACAATCTCACAATCACAGGGGACAAAACTGAGTATTCAGTGTTTATAACGTCTGTGGAGGGCAAAACCTAATACAAAATTTAAATCACCCGACGCAGAAATGCGATCTGACGAAGAGCAAATTTATTAAACTCGTGCCGCCGTTGTAAACCGCGTGTTTTTGCAGCAAACAACTGTGATATTGATTTACATCGCAGAGTGACATATAGCACCAACAACTGTTCAGACGATGAAGGTGTGTGTTATATAGACAGTGTCGAAAAAAAGTTGAATAGATCCAAGTATTTCTATATACAATCATACACGCGGCATAAAAATGAGCGCATCATCATCATGTGATACATGTCACATAACCGAACCCCCCCCCCCATTCGTACGATTTATAATCCACAACTTTCACATGGTAGAATTACCCCGCATGAGAGGAGTGATGACGTATTCATGACGTCAGGAAGGCAACAACTGTGATTGGCCGTGAACAGCTGCTGGTGCTATATATCTCGTCCAGTTAGACACCAACGACCCAAACAATATGACTCATTTGACTTCCCGCTTGAAGTAAATATTTAACGCGAGGGATGAATGATTTAACTTTGTTTCCTTCTTTCTTACCTAGCCCCATAAAATGTGGCTCAAAATAGAACTAAACTTCGTCCGTATTGGGAGCAACACACCGGTGATAGCAACATATGTGGACAAGTTGTTTAGAGAAGATGGAATCGAATCCGGGACTTTTTTCACTTGATTATAAATTGTACGAATGCCTGAACATGTACTGTGTTTAGATATGTTGTTTTTTGTAAATCACTCTAAATACAGCATGCTCATTGAGTCTTACCTCGTGTTATGTACGTGTGACTTGACCATTCAATATTGTTCTTTGTATATTACTTCCTTTCTCTTGATTCGGGCTCAATTAACGAGCTTCGTAATGGGCTCCTCTGCAGTGCCTTCAAAACATTCACTTTCTATAGTATATGTAGGTTGTTGTATTATTTGTAACTATTTTCTCTTATTGATTGATTTTGATGCCGTGGAAATAAATATACCTTGAACCTTGAATCTATGGAGGATGCTTACCTGGTTACATGTAACATCTAGGAAACATTTAGTTATGTACCTGTAGATGTTTAGTTATCCTGTAAGTTCAGGCGATGTTTGCAGAGAGTTCTTCCAAAAAAAGCTGCAGTATTTTTCTCAAGTTCGTGGGTTGTGACCTTTGAGCGTTTGATTTTCTCTGGTTATTAACCAGGTAAGATCTTCCATAGGAATATTGAGTAAATAAGCAGTCCCGATTTCGATTTCCTTAAAACAACTTTTCCCACAAATGTTGCTATCACCGGTGTGTGGCTCCTGATACGAGTTCAGTATTCGAGCCACATTTTTTTTTGTGGGGGTGGGGGGAGGGGCTCTCTCTTACCCTGATCTTTTTCCAACTGACTCCATCATATTATCCAAGAAACTCTTGAGTTCTTGCTGTCTCTGCATCTCCTGCGCGGCGTTGTAGTTGGCCTGGAAGAAATCGTTGTCTCCTATTCTCTTCTCCCTGGTAAATAAAATATGATACCATGATCTTATGCATGACTCACTGAGGGCATTCTTTTCTGATTTGAGGGCGTTCTTTTCTGAAGACCAGGCCACAATTATTTTTTGTATGCAACCAGGTATAGTCAATGACTATAATGCGCATGCGTCAGTTGGTAACAGAAGGGTTCTCGGACTTAATTCTTCCCTTCTAACAAAACAAAAATTAAAATCCTACAGTGACATAAATTAGGAATAAAAAAGTGAAATTTATTTCATCGATGGATATAGGACATGATTAACCACAATTTGAGATTCAAAATTCGCTCACGTGATATATTCCACGCACGCGTATTGAGGTAAATGACTTTATTAGGCTGGTCAGAGAAGAAAATATTGCGACCAGGCAACGTGCTTTGCTATCAATGTGAAACAGTTGCTACACGCAACAATTGAGGTATGTCGCATTGTAGCTCACGCCAATGTGTTCATGAGTTATTTTGTTTCCGATAATTGCCTCCCCTCTAATTTCTGAATGGAATAGCTGAAAATTACCTTGTCACAACTATAACTACTCAACATCACTCTGCACATAACCCTTGCATTAAAGGCAGTCATTAGCGAATTGTGTTAATATTTTTTAGAAATCGCCCGAAGTTGTAATTAAAAAAAAAAATTACCATACGTTTAATTTTCTATTGCCTCATTAAATGTTTTGGTACGATTTTGATTGATTTCATGCATTTTACTCATTTTGTAACTAGCATATCTAGTAAAAGTAAAAGAGAAAAAAATACGGTAAATAAATTAATATTTACTTCATGAATAACTCCTTCATTACAACGAAAATGCACAAATATCCTCTTTACCTTAATTTCACTTTAAGTAACAACATTAAATGGTTAAAAATAATTAATGTTTTGGTCCTGTCCACTTTGTAAACCCTTGAGTCTCATTTAACATTATGGTTTTCATTTTCACCAAAATTTAATTTTCTGATGCTGTATTTTTTTGTCATTTTAATTTAAAGATTAGTTTTGCGGAGGCGGACGCACATTTCCTGGATTTGCAAGATCCGGCCGAATATTAAGCAGAGTCAATAATGTCGTTCCGTTTTTTTGTTAAATTCGGCAAATACGGATGTCAGTAAAGCCAGTCACACAGGTTTTGCAGATTATGTTGTTTGTCGACTTGGCCATGTCAGCGTCCGACGTGACTTCGGTCCCAATTCAGCCGAGTTAATCAAATCGATTGTACATGACACTTTGTTTATTCGGTTATGATCGAAAATGTGTAACACGAGAACACTATCAATCAGTAGGCGAAGCACCAAGGGGAAACGGAAGGCCAAGCTCTGGCAAATTCATGCCCCCGCCAAAAATTATTTTGACATTTTATTTTCAAATTCCAGCTCTCGGCCAAATCCCAACTCTGTTGGGTATTGTCTGTAACATTTCTAACTTCCAGGTTATGTTTTTTCAACCAGAAAACATATTTCGTTTCTTCAACAAGCCTTCTTGTTATTCATGTTCAGGGGCCAATTTCGTTGCTCAGCTAGGTACAAAATATAGCTTTAATGCCAAACTTATATGCTTGACAAAACATTAGCTGAGAAATATTCACCAACACCTGGCATAATCAATGTAGGTCCTGCGTCAATTTGCTTTGACCGATTCTGCTCCGCTCCTTTGTATGATAAAGTTTCGACCGAAAATTGGAAGTCACTTCTTAAAAACTAGAAATGTTGTAGATGGTCTACCGGTTTCCACTCCACTGTTGTATGGAAAGGGGCCGAGATGTTTAATGTCACTTCTCACAAATTTGAGACTAGGAACCAAAAATGACTGAAACGCTTGTGTTCCGTATTAAACCTGAAACGTGAATGACGATCATAATTTCAGACATTTGGTCACCGTTTTCAGACATTTTATATCAACCTGTAAAAACAAACTTACGTTTCCGACATTCTGCTAACCTCAAAATACCTGAAATGTAAGCCTATCAAAAAACTGGCTATGTTAGAATTCAGACATTTCAAGCGACTGGCATGCCAGTTTCTTGATTTAATAAGCATTACTTTTCATATATTTTAAGGTGATGCAAAATAATAATCGCCATTGTTCGCGTTTCAGACATTTCGAAGTAACGCCCAAGTTCACGCCAGTGTTACTTCGTGAAAACCGCTACACATCGGGCACTGAGGGGCGAACGATTTTCGTTTTCACTAAGTTACAACACTGTCACGGAAATACTATTTGATAAAACGTTGAATCCGTATTCTTGTGGGATTACAGACAATGAAAGCCTTTAACCATAAAAGGGCCAGGCTATTTTGACCATCTCTCAGCCGGGGGGGGGGGGGATCCCCTCCCCCCCTTAAGATCTCGGCCATCGAGTGACGAAAAATTATGAAGCTCGGTACATGCAACAACTATTCATGAACATACCCATGAAATTTCATCTTGCCATTCGTCCACCGAGCTTGCCGGGGGTCGGTCGGCAGTTAATGAAAGTTAATTTCCTGGTAAGACCATAGAGTGCACCGTAGTGTACATGAGTGTAATACTTCGTGATTTCAAGCGAAAACCACTCGGTTCTGTAAAATACTCGCGCGTATAGCGCGCACTCAATTCCACTCGGGTCTTACTTCGTACGCGTGGTGTCCAGGGGCGGATCCAGGAATTTTCGCAGGGGGTGGGGGGGGGGGGTGGTTCATCAGCCAAAAAAATCTGAAAATGTACACAGGTTTTTTTTTCTCCGGGCACTTAATTGGCCTCCGTAAATTCCAAAAATGGGGGGGGGGGGGCCGCTGGTACCATATTTCAATAGGGGGCGCTGTTCAAATTCGACGATTATTAACACTATAGATTACAGAATGGTGTACCGTATTTTGAACAGGCGGACATTAAATAATTTTATGTTTTAGGAATTTGTATGATAATTTTTTTTTTCCGGACAGAGCTGGGGGGGGGGGGGGCTGACCGTTTTAAGGTTCTGTTCAAGGATTTTTTTTGATCCATGGACAGAACTTTAAAACGGTGGTTGTGTTTAAAATTCCGTAACTTGAAAAGTACATAAGTGATTTGAATGATTTTTGTACTAAAAGAAAGCTTATGAATTGGGCTTTAATGTCCTAGATTTTGAAAGTGCTACATGCAGAACTTCACTAAAACAATAGTCCCGACATTTGGGTTTCGTTCTTTTTATTTACTCACCCTGTATAAGAAACCTCCGTATATTGTGTTCACTGTGCTGTAACAAGTGCAATGCATTTCTCATACAGAAAATCAATCTGACGAGAAAGCATCGACAGGAATTCTTCCTGCCCGGAGTGATCCCTCTGTACCACGGAGCTCATTACTGGCGGTATTACGCGGAGGGGGAAGCGGGACTTTGCCCGTGGTTACCGAGGGATCAACAGGGTCAGGCAGAGCAAGCCCGCAAATCCTCCCAACTTGGCCCTTGCCGCAATCTCCCACCCACAGACATAAAATATTTTTTTTATAATGCAAGGAAGACCTAGTTCCGATCGCATCGAGTAGCAATCAGTATCTGATTTCATTAAGGTTCAAATTCTTCGCTCACTTTCCACCCAATAATCCGTGCGAGATGCACTTTTCCGGAATTACACGGTGGGTCAATCTTTGATCTGAATTCATTGTGTTGCATTACCTCCTGCCAATTATAGAAAAAGCCACAGAAAAAAACTGATGTTTTTGGCCAGCTTATAGGAACAAAATTGGTCGGCAGAAATGGTTCAGAAATTTTGGTCATAGTGAGCTTGTAACTATACGCGAGAATGGAGCTTGCAAAAGTAATAGGCTAAAAACTCGGATTCTGTAACTTCAACGTTTTAACATAAATCTCAGTTTGTGGCCCAATTCCAACCAGATGAGCTACAATTTTCCAGAGAGTCCGAAATGGCATGAAGATACGGTCTTCAAAACGGGAGAAAAAGAGGTTCAAAGATTTTGCCCGCGAACATCATCAACATTGTCTGTGTCTGTGTAACTGTAACTTGAGCTTCAAGGGTTCATTCAAAATAAAGTATAACGTAAGTGGCCAAATCGGCCGTAGCAACCTAAAGACTGAATCTACGTTCCTTGTTATAACTAAAGTCGAAATGTCAAACAGCTTTTCACGGCAGGTAGAATGCTAGTATTTTATGTTCGGAATTTTGAACAAATTTTTCGTTTAGAAATCGTGGCGATAGCGAAAGTTGCGTAAGAATGAATCTACGTTCCTTTTTATAAAATAACTAAAGTCAACTAGCCAAACAACTTTCACGGTAGAATGCTAGTATTTTAGGTTCGAAATTTTGAACAATTTGTTTTGTTTAAAAAGCATGGAGATACTGAAATTTGCGAAGAGGTTAATGTGTCACTGGGATAACTTTAATCGTCGGAAATAGGGCAGTGTTCGAAACGGGTATAAAATCTACGGCTGTGGCTAATCACCAAACCGGCCCAATGGAGAACAATCTAAGCCGTAGCCACAGAATACTCAATACAGGCTTACTCACCTGTGTTCGTCTGTACAGTGTGTATGAGCGGCCAGTAGAAGAACGACGCCACACACGGCTAGCAATGTAAGCTGCGACATTATGGTTCTGTTAAAAAAAAGTAAAAAATAAAACAATGCATAAAATTATATGAGTGTTATTCATATCTCTCAATACATAAACTTCCGTTTGTAAGTATCATTGACTTTTTCGCCAACAGCGAAACAGCATTGTTTTTGTTCAGATTGTTCTTCTTCTTCTTCTCCCTTGTTTTTCTAAATATATCTCATAGACTAAAAACATGTTTCATTCTCGGGATCAATTAAGACAATAAACAGACTTCAATCTTGATGAAACTTGGCATACACTAAAATCCCATAGTAAAGTCGTGCGTGGAATTGTGACGTCATGATGACGTCATCATGTGTCATGTGACGTCCTCTGAAAGGTGCCTTTTTAATAGCCAATATCTAGTTTGAAATTTGTAATTGTCCTTTTAAAAGTGTTTCTAACTTAGGTTTCTCCAAATGGCGTTATCGTCGTCGCTTCGACTAATTTATCACAGTTTACTTTTAATTCGATTAACGTGACACTAATATAGGCTAAGATATTTGTTAAATCTGTTTCTGTACCAATAAACATAGCAAATTATGATATGATGCACAGGAAACTTTGGCTATTATGGACAATCAGATGTTAAATTTCCAATTTCATATCTTGTTCGGTTTAATTTCACAGTAATGCAATTATTGATGGATCCTGAGAAGATTTCCTTGCGACTTCGTTCGGAATTTGGAATTGGAGGTACGCCGAGATTTCCTTGCGTCTTCGTTCGGAATTTGAAATTGGAGGTACGCCGCTTATTCATGAAATTCGTCGTCAATTATTAAAGCGTTCATTCCAAGACGGTAGGCATTCTTTAGTCAATTTGGTATTTTATTGGTAAATCATTGCTCAATTTCCGATTAATATTTGTACCAAATGCTGGTTCCCGCAACCTTTTAGGCAAGGCGCTTACATGTCTCGCCTTTAATGTTAATTCGTTTCTTTCAATCGCCGCTTTCCGCGCGATATGGATAATTACCACACGAGAGACAAAAAGCTTAGCCCCGCGCGCAGCACGCGGCGCGTCAACCAATAAACACCTAGCAATCAGTCAACAGGCCCCTGAACATGTATTTTAGCTCGTCTGTAGAATTTCTCCCAATGGAATGAGGGCTGGTGATACAACTTGTGTCCGTGACTTAATCCGCACTGATGATGGAGGGGCCAATATATTGATAGCATCTGGTGAATTGACAACCTCGTATCCATTATGGTACTATTGGAAAGGAGGTGGAAGATAAAGTAGGCCTTGGGGAAAAGGTTGGGTGTCTTGCGCATTGCAGTCTCAATGATTTTGATGACAACTTCCTTCAAAATGTACATCATTATTTTGAAGCAAGTTGTCATCAAAAATCATTGAGACTTCAATGCACGAGTGTGCCCAAAAAAGTGCAACATTCAGAAAACAAATGATTAAAACTATGTCTATTTTTGCTTCTTCATCAAAATTATGCATTAAAATAAAGCACGACTATTGCTAAATCCACTCCTTTTTACCCCATTCCATTTGGGTCCCCAGATCCAGAAATACAATCAATTAAGTTGGAAGGGTGTACATTTTTCCTTGGGTAATTCTCACCTGTGAAGTCACCAACTTCAGTGTCTATTCAATGCCTTTTCAATGCTTAACCCAGATTCAGCATGTCCAGGTGAGAGTGGGCCAAGTAACATTTACACCCTTTCACTTAATTGATTGTATATCTGGATCTAGGGACCCAAATGGAATGGGGTAAAAAGAAGTGGATTGAACAATAGTCGGGCTTCAATGTACATGCACTATATAATTCAATTGAAGAAAAAATATTAAATAGTTTTAATTATTTGTTTTCTCAATGTTTCAACTGTTTTGGCACACTCCTGCAGCATGTAAGCGTGCTTACATTAAAAATTGTTTTAACTTCATGGCTAGGCCATTGTTTCATTGCCCGAACTGTCGCCACATTTATCGATCGGTTTGATAACATCATTAGGCCTACTCGATATCAGCCACTTAAATTCAACCTCCAAACATCGTGAAACTGTGTTTTGCTGTAAACAATACATTGATGTTACGTATATACGGGTAAACTACAAACAAGCTTGAAAAGATCTAGGAACAGGGTGACCGTTTCAGCCGATTTTCGGCTAACTTTGACAGAATTTTTGTTCAAAAACAAGTTTGACAGAAAATTTTACAGAACGGATATTTTTGGCAGATTTATGGCAGAATTCTGCATAAACGTTTTTCTTTGACAGAAAAACAGCAAATTTGAACAAAAAAGTGTGCATGTATTTAAAAAAAGCTTCAATCCTTTCAAACAAACCCTTGCATAACGGGACAGGTTGGCTGGTCTAGCTGCTGAGGTTCACTGGGAAACGGCCCTCGACGCCGGCAGGATCCGCATTTTGCCCGAAATTTACCAATAATTTCACAACATCTTTATGTGATTAGATTGTTTATTATGTAATATTATTTAAGGCAATACTACCAATCTGCACGTGATTTTAAGTGTTTATAGTGTATTTCGAATAATTCTGGGGAATTTGGCAGATTTTTGATAAATCTGACAGATTTTTGATGTGCATTTAGCAGAATTTGGCTCGGACCTTACGGTCACCCTGTTCATGCACGAGATATGTGATTGTGCCCGTTAATTTATGGAAGGAGTAGTGTTTTGAGTACAAAATCAGGTTTTAACCCCAGTGACCACATGATGGCATTTGAAGGTCAGTGCCACGAAAGAGGGTCAGGGCCTGTGGTACGAGTTGATATACATGTATAGCAATGCAAGGCTGCAATAAAACGTTTGTTACTCACGAACGGAGAGACACGACGATTTGTTGAGCTGCTGTCCGCAGCTGAAACATAAATGTGACCTCGTCTATATTTCACTGTTACAGTCAACAGAACCAGCAGCAACACTGGTTTATTCCATTTTGCAGAGCGTACTTTGCAACCTCGCCGAAAGAGAGCGTTAAAAGTGCCCTCTGGTGTATAGATCGACCTGACCCAGAGGTAAACATTTTTTTCATTGAGACGACAAAGTTCTAACTTGCAAACATGATGTAATACAGTGGCGTACCCAGGATTTATTTAGTGGGAGGGGGACCACAGGGGGATCAAAATATCATGGGGGGGGGGGCACATATCACAAACGTCCTATTGCAGTTTTTCCCAGTTGGGCCCCATAATGCCTCGCTATATCCATTGAGTAAGCCTTTGGCTAACTGAACAAGTACAAATTACAAAAGCCCTTTTTGGGTGGGGAAGGAAAAGGGGCATTATCAGTATGGAGGGAACCTGGGGGCACGGAAAATTAAGGGGGGGGGGGTACGTCCCCCGTTGCTACGCCACTGATCATTTATGATCCCGCTGGCTACGCCTATGATGTTCCATTTGTAACGTAGTTGTTCCCGGGGCGTTAATTTGTGGGCAAGTCCACACAACGTCGCTGCTACCTGGTTTATGTGGACCTCTTTTGTTCGGAAGTCGACACAGTGAATGTAACGCTTGTACGGTAAAATCAGGATGGTGTGCGCCGGGCTTAAGAATAGGTTTCTATTCCCAGTTGGTGCACCAGTGTGTTTCCAAATACCGGAAACCGAATTCCCATGCAACCTCATTATTTCCTGTCTAGATCGGACACACTTCGGACATAAGGTAAAAATTCTGTCATTGGAACGACAAAGTTACAACTTACAAGCATGATGTAATATGATCCCGGCATCGACATATTTTGGATGAGTTTGAGATCGGCCAGCACATGACCTTCCTCAGAGTAAATGATTTAAGTAAATTTGTTTTTAGTGCGCACACGAAGTTATCGCATGCGAGTCCTCTGTGCATTACTTCTAGGGTTAGGGTTAGTGTTAGGGCTAGTCACAGCCAATCAGAGAACGGGCATGGCACAAAGCGGCCAATAACATTTCAGTTAATATGCGGAGGCTGCTTTTCGACCGGCCTAGTCCCCTCTGAGACTTTAACAACCATGGTTACAAACAAATAACTTTATTACATGGATGCATGCTGCTTCGAAAGTAAAGTCTGTCACGAGCCAATATGGCTCATCAGGTCGGCGCTTATCTCCAGTTTCCTTGACATAAAACGACTGAGATGACCCAGCCCATCACGCGTTATACTCCCCAGTTAATTCCAGTACCCATTGATATACTCTTCGGTGGAGAGAGGCAAGTGGACGTGAAGTGGCTTACCCGTGGACACAGCATAATTTTGGCCATCAGCTGGATTCGAAAACACTGACCCTTTGATCATGAGTCGGCGTCGCCAGTATATTTTTCTAGAGGGGGGGGGGGGGGGGGGGGGCAAAGCATATTATTTTCCAAAATCCTTGTAGGCCTACTTTCTCTAGCATATTCTCCACGTATCAATTTGTCGAGGTTAGGCGGTGGGGGGGGGGGGGGGCATTTTCCCCCTACACCCCCATTGACACCCCTGCGGACGCCCATGTTTTGAAATGTGCATTATATACATTGCAATATGACTTCGCCCCTAGACTTCTCAATTTTTTTCTCCTTTTTGTTTGGGGGGGGGGGGGGTGGTGGTGTTCGCTTTTCCGGGGGGGGGGATGACGCCAATGGTCACGAACCCTAACAATTGGGCCAAACTCCTCCGAGATTGAACCAAAATGTCCGGTTTGAGCCTCGGCCGGACATTTCTTCGCCTTGATTAATCGACACCTGTGTCCCATGCACCCGGTCCATTTTTTGATTAATTATAGCGGGACCCCCCTTCTCCCCTCACGAGCCCTCAGCTGCCGGTTCGTTGATGAAGGCCGTTTAGAAAGACGGCACACCTCGTCTGCCGGGTGCTGAGGATATTTTCATTAAGCAGCTGCGGTATTGTGGCGGGATCACTTCGCGAAGGAAGAAAACAAAACCCTGATTTATCACGATCAGGAGGAGGTGGGTTGCTGAGCTCTGCCACACACGCGCGACATGGGCGAAAGCTCGGCTTTCATTGATGTAACATCGCATGTTATCTGCCCGCGCGTAGGCCTACGTGT